GAACCACAACCCCCATGCTCTCAAGCCCTGAACCGTGAAGATCGCACCCGAAGCCTTGCGCCCTAGTCCCGAAATCCGTATTATGGCCCTTCTCACCATTTCAATACCTTATGAGAATTTTACAAGACCCTAAACCCTAAACCCTAAACCGTTGCTGGGTTCTGGAGTACCATACTTTGCTACATGTTTTAACGGCCTGTTCCTTAAGCGAACCATTCTTACATACAAGTTGCTATATTCCCCCCCCCCCCACCTTCAAAGCCCCCTCTCTAACCCTAAACCCCAAACCCTAAACCCTAGACCTTCAAAGCCCCTCTTCTCTGTTCAACACCGCAAGGCGTGAGGCCACTCCCGTCTTGGGCATGGCTTCTTGGTTGCCCGAAATAGTTTTTTGGTTCTAGCCCAAAGGCTCCATGTACCCACGTACTAGGTACTTAGGCCTTAAAGGGGTCCCTATATAGGTACTTTAAGGCCTAAGTACCTACTATATGGGTACATGGAGCCTTTGGGTAGGGTCTAGGGGTTTAGGTTCTAGGATTTCAGCCTTTGGGTTTCAGGAGTTTAGGGTTCAAGTTGTAGTGGTTTGGGGTTTAGGGTCTCGAAGCCAGCTGGAAATTTCAATCCTGGGCTTCAGGGCTTCGGGTAGTTAGGACTTATGTTTGTGGTTTAGGGGTTTAGGATTCATGGTTTGGGCTTCGCGTTTGGTGTCGGTGTCGGTGCGCTTGGAATTGAACTTATAGGCATCATCATCATCATCATCATCATCGTCATCAACATCCTCAGCATCATAGTCCAGATTTTTCGCGACAGTGTCGGAATTCGCTTCTAGGTTGCCCGAACATATTAGAGATTAAATGACTTAAACCCTTGACGCTCAATGCCAGACGCTAGATACTCAAACGTCAAAGCCCGAATCCCGAAGCCTAAAGCCATGCAGAGCCTTTATGCACCCTTACAGTGACCCTCTGGAACCCTTAGACGACCTTTATCCTAATTATAGCCTACTTGTAACCTTACTTACTAAGTCCCATGAGCCTTTAAGTACCCTCAACCCTACACCCTTAACCCTGGCATAAGAACCTTGTAAGCCCAACACTTCAAAGTGCATTGAGGTCCAAGTACCGACGGATTCCGGCCAGCGCGTGACCTTCGAATGGGTTGCAGGAGAGTGCTGGGAATGAGATCAGATAGAAGTCAGCCAGCACAAAGTAACACACAAATTGCCTGATTTGCTACTGTACATCTGCTCTTGCAGAATCCTAAACCCCTAAACCCTAAACCCTAAACCCAAAGCCCTAAAGCCGTCAACATCGTTTCAGAGCCCTTCAATATGTTGGATGAATCCCAAAAACCCAAACCAGAAGCCCTTAGGGCCTCGCCCTTAGTGGTCTGAGGCTAGGAATGGAGGGGTGGTACGGTTGATGATATAAATCCTGCATGACCCATAATAAGGAATACACCATAATTCCCATATATTCCTTATTATGGGTGATGCAGGATTTCGATCATCAACCGTAGGAGTTTAGGGTGTCGGGTTCGGGTTGGGTGTAGGGTTTGAGGTGCAGGGTTTGTGGGCAAGACCTCTTTTTGGACAAGAGTTGCTGTCATGTTCCGTTTATAACGAGAACAACAGCAACGACATTTGTTGAAGTACTAATGAAACTAGGACGATTGTTGATACTATCACAAACACACGCTTTTATGACAAGAACAGTATCCATAATCGTATGAGTCAAACATGCAACAAAGTAAGACATGCCACAGGAGTTTCCACGGATGAGAAGTTTGGTCGTCTAAAAGCTCTCGACACGTATTCCGCATGAGTTTAGGGCTTCGGGCACTACCCAGAGTCCATATACATTATGTGAAAGCCTCCAACCTTGTTGTGGAAAACCTTGTCCCTAGATGCTGATGCCGTTTGAACAGCTCGCAGTCAGCATTGCACTTTGTCACAGCAGGCATGCACAAGACAGCAAGCAGCTTGACAGTTCCTTTGCGTGTGAAAACCGTAAGCCTTCGCGTGGTGTGTTCATGGCCTTTCCGATAAAACTGGAACGATACTGAGAAGATCATCGCGAACCCCTGCTTAGCTGGTTCAGGCGTTTTTTACGCATTCACAGGTTATGAGCGCCCAATCTACGGGATTGCCAAACACCTTGGACGGAGAGACTTCAGGACCTGATTACGCCAGGTCGCAAGGACAGGACGGGCATGCTGGAAGGGGCCAGGGTTTGCTTAATGGTACTACGGCTACTAGAGCGCCTACTTTGGTTGTGAACAGTGGAAGCACGCCAAATGCTGACACCACCGCACCGGGCGCGACGTATGCTACTGTGCAGCAAGCTGGAAGGAGCGAAGCTAGCATCCGAGATGATGGTGGGTTTGTCGGTTTAGCACCACAGACAACAACGCAACCTCCACCCATGCAAGCAGCTCAGACCTCAGCAGCAGCACAGACAGCTCAGCCGCCTACAGTTACACAAGCACCACAACCCGCGGCAGCAGCACAAGATGTACGTCTTCAGGTACCTGTGCAGGCCCAGAATGTATCGTCAACAGTCCTTGCACCTGAACAGACTGGAAATGCTCAACCTTCTGCAACGACAACCGTGCCTCAACAGAGCCGTCAGCCAGAACTGCAATCTCCTCGGCAACCTCATGCAACTGAACCTCAGCGACATCCTCCATTGAGGCTGTCTTCTCCTCGGCGACCGTTGTCCTTACAGGAAGCCGAGCGATTTCTGCAAGCTCAAGAGAGTGCTGTGCCACAACCTCATGGTGATGTTCCACGAGTATCTGCAGAAAATGAACAAGGCGTCTCCGGAGGAGCTTTGACTACTGTGCATAGTTTCGTCACAGCTCAGAGTCAGGAGTCACCAGAAGAAGCTTCGCGGAGTGTTTGGTTGAACTTTGGAGAGATGCTTCAGAGGAGAGTGGTGGCACCTGTTATGAATGCAGGGAGAACCTTTGCAAGTTCAGGCCAGGGGTCCTCAGAGAGAGCGGTTGGATCTCTGTTTCCGACAGAGGTACAAAGGGCTATGGAGGCTCACCGAACTAGGCCTTCTTTGATCAGCCCCCAGCATCGCAGACAAGAGGAGGAGGCTTCATCCAGTAGCGTCAATCAGGAGATGATCATGGACGAGGTGAAGCGGCAGGTAGCAATGGCCATGCAAGGAAGAGATGCGGAGGTGGTTTCCTTGAAGCAGAGGAACAGGGATTTGGAGCAAGCGCTGATGGAGGCGAACAAAGTTATGCGAGCTATTGGAACTGGTGAGAAGCCGAGCTCCTCGACCACGAGACCTGATGGACCCCAGGGGCCTTATGGAAATCCTGGAGGAATTCTTCATGGTGGAGTTCGAGGTGGCGGTGAGCTTCAAGGGGATCCAGTCCCAGGAGTATGGAATGCTTCAGTACCTGGCGGCACTCGTCTGGAAGGTGAGCGAGGAGAGAATCGCGACAATCTAGGACCAGCGGGACCCCCAGGCCTTGGGTATGGAGGTGGTCAAGAACCGGGGCATGATGGCGGTGGTACAACAGCTACTGCTACGACGTTTCCGGCGAGATCGACCGAAGCCCGGGAAGAAGGAGGCGGAAATGAGCCGTTACAGTTGCTGGTCCAAGGGATGCGGCAGCTTCAACAGGTGTACCTGGGAAAAGGGGAGTCACGCGACTCCGAGATGAAGGGGGCGGTTGAGCTCCCACAGATGCCGGAGATCACGGCGGAGAGTGCGGTCAGCTTTGCGGACTGGCTCTATGAAGTGGAACAGGCTATTGGTGGCCTCAGTGACAAGGCGGCTGGATGGTTCACTATGTGCCTGAACTGTGCGAAGGAAACGTACGATCGCTACCAGCTGAGTGACCCGCTGACCAGGCTGGCAATGGAGCCGGCAATCCCTGCGGAACTCAAGAATGAGAAGTTCTCAAGGTTGGAACGTCGCGTTCTGACTCTTCTTCTCTCCACCCTACAACGGCAGGCCAAGGACGATGCAGTGACCCACCGCATCTCGAGCGTCACAGGTTTGTTGTTCAGGCTCTACGTTCTCTATGGTCCAGGAGGCACAGCTGAACGGGCTTCGATATTGAGGCATTTGGAGGGCGTGCAGGGGACCAACAATCTCGTGGACACGGTCTCCGCGCTTCGTCGATGGCGTCGTCACCTGCAAAGGGCTGAAGAAATGCATGTGGCAGTCCCTGACCCCTCGGTGCTCCTCAGGGCGGTGGAAGTTATCTCTATGAGGGCAATCGAGGCCAACCAGGAGATCAAATTTAGACTGTCGCTCTCGAAATGACAAATTCAGCTGCAGTACCGACCTACGATTGAGAATGTCCTGAAGTACTACAATCACGTACTGGCAGAGCTACAGCAAGCAGTACCTTCGAGACCTTCGACTTCACAACCTTCCACTACGGCAGCGGACAATGCAAGGCTAAAGGGCATGAGTACAACGACCACCACAGCTGGTACAGGCGAGGCAGGCTCACCAACCCGACGAGGAGGAGATCACGCCAGCCCAGCAACGGGAAAGATTCCATGCCGGTATTTTTCTTCGGACAATGGGTGCTCGAAGGGACAAGCATGCAAGTTCGAACATGCCTTTTTGAGCAAGGAGGACAAGCGAGGTCGGTGTTGGTTTTGTGGCTCTACAAAGCACGTCCAGAAGGATTGCCCGATCAAGGCCGGAAGGAATTCCTCACCATCCAAGGGGCGTGGGCAGCAAGCTACAACATCTTCGGCGACCACATCTACTACCCCAGTGACCTTGAATCAAGTCACGGCCCAGCAGCAGCAGGCGATCTTGGACTCAATACAGGCTGTGATGAGTTCAACAGCGCCATCGACGGCGCCTTCAGTCTTGGGTACGACATCGGTGCCCACAGGAGCATCGACTACGGCACCGGAGACTCCCCAACCTCAGACTACTTCTGGAGCATCGACTTTAGAGCACCCCGGTGTAGATGACAGGCAAGAAATCAGTGCCCTACTACAACAGGCGAATGCGATGTTGAACAAGCTTACTCGACTACAAGCGCTACAGGTTACATCGCAGCAAACGCTGACGGGACTCAAGGCTCAGATGTCTGGTTTGGGTTTCGACGATGATGAGAAGATGGCGTTGCTGGACAGCGGTGCATCGCATCCGTTTCGAGAAAGAGCCCTACATGAAGACGATGGTGTACCAGTTCGTGTGGACTTAGCGGGCGGAAAGTCCATCACCCTGCAGCAAAACCGGGGAGGCACGCTGTTACCAACAGCAGACAATGCGGATGCGCAGGACGTCTCCACGATTCTGCCGCTTGGAGCCCTGGTCCAAACTCTAGGCTGTGATCTGACATGGACAAGAAAGGGAGGACTGAAGATTGTTCATCCTCAGTTTGGGGTACTCAAGACGGTCGTCAAGGGCAACTGCCCGTTGATCGGGGAGCTTCAAGCACTAGATCTCATACATCAACTTGAACAACGGAAGCTCCGAGAACTTCAGGAGGCGACCGCCGAGACCTTCATTGGAACACTGTGTTTGTCGGAGCTGAAGGACTGGGACGAGATGTTTACGGCTTACGTTCAGACCGGCGAGAGGGCACATGTTCTGAAGGCATTGGAGTCTCCTGGATGCCCGTTACAAAACCTTGACCAAGGACTACGAGCCTTGTTGGCAGTGAACCTCAATCTGGATGATGAGTCTGGCAAGGGCTACTTGAAGGCGCTTCCAATCCGGCGCTCCCAGAGGAAATCCTTGCTGACCAAGCGATGGATTGTTCGGTTGTTCGAGCGTGACGCAGAGACGCATGAGGAGCTGAAGGTTTCGGAGACGAACTCTGCGGTCATTGTGAACTTCAGTTTGAAGCGGAGCAAGATGTTCAACCTGAAGGGTGAGAGCGCAGCCTATCGAGCTCTACTTTGGGCAGCATGCCGGGGACAGATAGATGGAATCCTTGGTTGCCCTCCGAGTAATGCGTGCATGGAACTCAGCGCCAAACAGCTTTTGCTATGGATGGTTGCCAAGGAAGGTGCGAGGGTTCGTCACAAACTGAGCCCGTACTTGGTGACTACGGCGTCTCCCTCTTCAAGATGGTGGACCTCTACGGTGTGGCAAGGCTTCCAGAGGGAGTATCAGCTCCCAGTGGCCCAGGTCTCCCCGGTTGGGACCAGTGAGTCGTATTGCGTGGCGACCAACATGAATCTTCATGGAGATGATGAAGGATGGGGCCCAGGAGTCGATGTTACGTCGTCTACTACAAGGAAATGGTCGGAGTCCTTTATGAAGATGATTGCCGAAGGCATTATACAATGGAGGCGGGTACCGGAGCCTCTTGTTCTATGTAGTGGACAAGCAAGCGGTCCAGCTTGGAGCGCCGAGGAGGCGCGAAAATGGAGACGGCATGTGGAAAACGGCCATCTACCATACAACAAGAGATGCCGTACCTGTGTTGAAACCGCAGCCACCGGAAGAAGTCACAGAAGGGTAATAGCTCCAAGCTGTTACACCTTAAGTCTCGACCTATGTGGACCTTTCAGAGAAAAGGAGGAGACGGCGGATGCGAAGGGCTACAGATATGCTTTGGTTGGAGCCTACACAATGCCGCGGTTAGCGGGCTATCGGGACTACAAGATTCCTGAGGAGGAGATGTTTGAAGGTGATGATGACGGTGGCGGTGTGGGAAGCATACCAGTTGAGGAGGAGCCAGACTTTCTTCGTGAACTTGATGAACCACAACCGGAAGTATCAAGGGATGATCAAAGGGAGATGGACCAATCGAACGAAGAGTTCCAGAAGCTCTTCAAGGAGATTGGGGATACCCTTGAATACCAGACCCTCCACTACATGGTCCCGTTGAAGTCTCGCAGGGCTCCTGAGGTTGAAGCGGCGATCCGGTTCCTCTATATGCAGGTACGTGCCGAGGGATTACCAATCCAAAGAGTGCATAGTGATCGTGCCCGTGAATTGAGAGGAGCTGGTATACGACAATGGCTTCTTCAACATGATGTGTACCCAACAACTGGAGAAGCACAGGTGCCTCAAAGCAATGGCAGGGCGGAGCATGTCGTCAAGATGTTGAAGCAGCGAACGAAAACCATGCTCCAGAGCGCATCCTTACCGAAATCCTGTTGGCCGCTTGCAATGGGACATGCAGCTTGGGCGCAGAGAGAGCACGCTCTTGAAAGGGGAAAGACAACAATCCCATTTGGTACAAAGGTCTACATCAGGGCAAAGGTCTTTGGCGTTGGGGGGAAGTTCGATTTGAACAACAAGTGGGATGATGGCCAGTTCGTGGGCCCCTCAACGGAGCTCAAGGGTGGATTCGTAGTCAGGGACGTGAATGGGCGATACCTGACTACTATGCATATGAAGCGCGATGTGGTGGATGTGGACCTTGAGGTGAAGCCAACTCCCGCAGAAGCTACGCTACCGGCACCTATGACTCGAGTCAAGAAGAAGCGAGCTGTGGTAGAAGGCTATGATGACTACGCACCACCACCGACAAGAGATTCAGATCCGAGAAGTTCGGCACTTGGTCCACAAGGGGAAGCAGAAGTACCCAATGATGATGACGCACCACCACCAACGAGAGATTCAGATCCGAGAAGTTCGGCACTTGGTCCATTAGGGGAAGTCGTAGTACCCGAAATGGTTGCAGCATCTGGGTCTGGGTCGCATGAGGAAGAGAGTTCCAGCAGAAGTCCGGTTCATCGTCTACGGGAAAAGACCCGACTCATGGCTATGAAACCACTGTCCCCGTTGGAGCAAGAGATCGAGGATCTGGCGGTGACTTACGATGTGGACGAGTGCTACGATGAAGAGGCGGCCCTTCGAATCTATGAGCTTCTGGAAAGAACAAAGCTGCCGAGTTCAAGGGCACTAAAGCGAAGGTCCGTTACGGCGTCTACGGCATGGACCACGGGCATGTATACGCATGGTGGAGTTTCAGGCTTGAGGGCCAATGCTAAGAGGATGCCATCGACGACGGCTTTTCTGGTCAAGGCTGCGAAGGAGCTGACGGGAAAGAGTGAGTTTGCAGTCGTCGCCCTCACACGTGGAGCTCGACTTCGGTGCCACAAGGACTCGCACAACCAAGCGTCTACTGAGAATACCGTCTTGGCGCTTACCGAGTTTGATGGAGGAGGAATATGGGTGGAGGGCCATGGAACCAAATGGCGAGAAGTTCTACCAGGACGATGGGTTCAAGGTGATGTTCATGAACTCAAGCTGGGGACACCTGTATTGTTTTGTCCAAGAAGCTGGCACGAGACTCAGGACTTCAAGGGCGACCGAGTGGTGATGATGGTGTCTACCCCCAGAACGTCTCATTTGAATGAACTTGATCGACAACAACTTTTGGAGCTTGGGTTTCATGCGCCGGACAGTGAACCAGAACCTCCTTTACCACCACCAGCGGAACCTCCTCAACCACAGTTACGACTACAGCAACAATGCGTTCTTGATGATGTTGGGTCGATGGAGTGGGATTCGAGGCGTCTCACTGAGGAGGAGGGATGGAGCAATGCTTCGTCTCAATGAGTACCAGCAGCAGATGATGGATGAGATGTTGGACAGGTCTTCGTTTCTACAAGATCTACTTGAAGAAGAGGAAGAAAGGCTTCAAGACCTACAACAGCTCCAGCATGGATGTGTGGAAAGTGCGAAACAGGCCTATGGGGAAATCGCACAGATGCTTGATGGTTTGACGGCCAAGGTCAAGAAGGAAGCTATGGACCGTGACGAGCGCTACTACCTCAAGGCAGTGAATGCTGAGTGTGACTCTCAAGACTATGAGAAGCTTCTTGAGGACCTGCAGGGCGACCTTCAAGTTACCCACACAGTTCCATTACAGCAGGTGAAACCAGTCGCAACACGCTGGAAGGGAGCGATTGAGAAGGAGCTTACAAACCTCTTTCAGACTGGAACGCTGAAGAAGATCAAGATGAGTGAGGCTCGCAAACTTGAGGCCGCGGGCAAACTACGTTTGGTTCCGAGCAAGGGAGTGTTCACTTTGAAGCCTCCTGCCGAGAAGGGTGGCCGCTATAAAAGAAAATATCGCCTAGTACTTTGTGGGAACTTCATTGACCCGGCTGAGTCCCAAGGTTCCTTGTACGCCGGTGGCATTGGAGCAGAGGCCCTTCGTACCCTTTTGGCAGCGACTACCAGAAGGGGATGGCGGGGGGCTACTACCGATATCACAGCTGCTTTCCTCCAGGCGTTGTGGCCAGAGTCGATGCCAATGTATGCTGTGCTACCACCACGTTTGCTCAATGAGTTGGAGTACTCGGAAGATGGAGAAGCTTGGCTAGTGTGCCGACCACTTTACGGCCTGAGAGAATCGCCGGCTATTTGGGCGACCCACCGCAATCAACGGTTGAAAACTCTCAGAGTACCCTATGGCGATGGTTATGTTTCCTTGCGACAGTCGACTACGGATCCAGAGATTTGGTTTGTGGTCAGTGAACGAGAACCTCAAGGAGAACTCCAAGGTGTTATCATCACGTATGTGGACGACTTGTTTTACCTGGGCCCTCCAGCCCTGGTTGAGAAGCTGCATTCATGGGTTAGTGCTGAATGGCCTTGCTCGGAATTACAATGGGCTTCTGTGTACCCTGGAGTCCGATACCTTGGAATGGAGTTGTTTCAGCGCGAGTCTGGAGAGTATGAGGTGACCCAGCAGGGCTATATCATGGACCTGATCCGAGCTCACGATCTACTTGAGGCCCCTCAAACTCTTCTTCCGTGCCCAAAGGAGTGGATCACAGATGCTGTTGATCCTGAAAACGAAGACTTCAAAGAGTCCGACCTTCGACTAGCCCAACGGCTGGTTGGAGAGCAGCTTTGGCTTGCGATGCGTTGCAGACCGGATATCCACTACACTGTGAGCTACATGTCAAGCTGGGTAAGCAGACATCCCTTGAGAGTGACCAAGTTGGCTTTGCGAGTCCTGTCCTACTTGCACAAGACTGCCGGAATGAAGATGATCCTTGGACAGCCGATGGAGTTTCCTGAGGATGGCTTGTACAAGACCAGCAGCAGCAGTAAGAACACAACAGCAACCAACGACAGCAGCACAGGTTTTAGGGGTATCAAACTAGTGGGTTTCTCGGATGCTAGTTTTGCACCTTTTGGTGACAAATCCTTTGGTGCATCGATGGTGACCGTGGAGGATTCACCAGTCGGTTGGCGATGTTCGAAGCAAGCTTATGTTGTTCTGTCAGTAATGGAAGCAGAGCTCTACCAAGCCACGGAAGCAGCAGTTCTGATCGAAAGCATTGGCGCACTTCTTGATGAACTATGTGCCATGACTGTGCCGCGAAAGCTGTGTGTGGACAATACAGCTGCACTGGCAATGATCAAAGGAGGCCAGGGAAGCTGGCGAACGCGCCACCTTAAGGTCAGAGCAGCATACATGGTTCAGCAGGTGCAAGATCAACTGTTGGAAGTGGAACATGTTGATGGGATAAGCCAGAGAGCTGACCTGTCAACGAAGCCACATCCTAAGGCCAGGTTGTATATGTTGCTGAAGCTGTGGAGATTTGAAGGACTACCAACGGAAGCAGAGGCGTTGATGGTGGCAAAGATGACGGTGATGCTGTGCTTAACGAGGGCTCTAGCGCAGATCCCTGTTGCAGCAGCTGAGTCTTCAGAAGGTGAGCCCGTAAAGATTGCTGGAGTGGACGAGCTAGTATTCTTTGCTGTTCTAGCTTGTGCTGGGGCAGTTGTGGTTTGGGAAGTGTTGAAGCTCATGAGTCGGAAGCTTTGGGCTTGCTGTTGCAGGGCTGCTAAGGGTCGCAAGGCAAAGCGGCTCAGAGATATGGCCAGAGCTGCCGCAGAGGCCGAAGTTGACCGAGTTTTGACCCCCAAACCTCGAGATTCGATGACTCCCACACCCACCTTGGGCGTTATGTCAAGTACTGGATGGGTACCATCTTCGCGGAATGCCCAAAGGAGATCGATAGCGACCCAAACGGAAGATTGGGAGCGTATGACGCCACCAGTGGTTGTTACTCCACCTCGGGGAATTCCCGCGGCAATTCAGAATGATGAGATGTACATGAACTTTGATGGTCCTTTCTACAAGTCGGAGTATGGCGACACTGTTCATGTTTCTCAGCATTGCCAGGGATTCAGGTTGGCCTCGCACCAGATTTTATCATACCGTCTTTGCAACTTCTGCAGTAGGCGGGACCCGATCTACCAGAGACGATTTCGAGACGGATCTGCACGACGATCTCTCCGTTTCGTGAACACGGGGTGAAGTCAATTCACTCAGAGGTCGTCATGAAAAATATGCATGCAGTTGATTTGTGGAGCTGATCAACAGCACCAGAACTTTATGTTCATACGATTCCACGAATGTGACTTCCATCGGAGGATGAAAGTCAAGGAGGAGTGTGAAAGCCTCCAACCTTGTTGTGGAAAACCTTGTCCCTAGATGCTGATGCCGTTTGAACAGCTCGCAGTCAGCATTGCACTTTGTCACAGCAGGCATGCACAAGACAGCAAGCAGCTTGACAGTTCCTTTGCGTGTGAAAACCGTAAGCCTTCGCGTGGTGTGTTCATGGCCTTTCCGATAAAACTGGAACGATACTGAGAAGATCATCGCGAACCCCTGCTTAGCTGGTTCAGGCGTTTTTTACGCATTCACACATTACCATTATGGAATTAGGTCCCCGAAACCATAATAATAGGGATGGTCTTTTGGGACCTAATTCCATAATGGTCGTGTATGTGGACCCTCTGACTCTGGGCTAGCAAGGTTAAGAGTTTAGAGTTTTAAAGGGTACTACGTCCTCTAAGCATGAGAGGCCTTGCGAAACCTGGTATACCACAGTGATGTAGGTTTCCAGGATCAAAAGTGTCAACAAGATACGTTGGTTCGCTATCAGGTTGTTCCTCACTGAAGTGTAACCTGTTGTTTCCTCGGGTACTTGAAAGCACGACACATCTCCCTTGAGACACCAGTTAACCAAACACCTTACTATCTATCTATCTATCTCACCCTAAAAACCCCGAAGCAAGCCCTGAACCTCAAACTTCTGTGGGTCTCAACCCTAATCTTCAAGGGTTTCAAAGTCCTAAGCCTAAACCCCTAAGGCCTAAACCCTAAACCCCTAGACAAGCATTTGGTGTAGGGGGTTCCTGCACCGGGATCACCGAGAGTCTATGAGCGTCGTTGCGTCATATAGTGGTCTGACTTAATTATTCATGTATAGGGTGGTACTCGGAGGGTTTACAGGTTTTGTTTCTATACTTCGACAAGTCAGCAATCAGTAGTATTACTCTAGTCCGTATGTATAGTCCATATAGCAAGTCACATCAGTGTAAGTTGCCCGCCCCCCTCCAAGAATCGTACTCTATTCATTCTTGCCAATACTACGGTGTAGACAAACTTTTGGAAAACAACAAAAACCTGCGTTGCATCGGGCATTTGAAACTAAGCCGGCTGCACGTAGGATGGTTTGAACGGTTCTCGGGGTTTGGTTATAGGCATCACTTGTTACAGCCCCAATGAAAGAAGCCTTCCCACTAACTCTCTGCCAATGAAAGAACCGCGGACACCAAACCCTGAACCTTAAGCTTCTGTGTAGCCAGGAAGTGGCTCAGCCGGAAATGGAAACGTCACGTCCGACTGTGTCTTCCAGTCTTGGCTGCTTGGCCTGTTGATCCCTGCCTCGAGTTTCAATTCGACAATCCCACTTCAAGAGCTCCTAAAGTTCAAACCCTCAACCCTGAACCCTAGAACTTAAACTCTTAAACCCTAAACCCGCTTTCATCGCCTAGCTTTGCAGGCCCTTGCTATACACACCCAGCGGAATCCCGCTTTCTTGGATCGTGGCGAGACGGAAAAGGGTCGTGCAAAAAACACCCCGAAACCCTAATCCTTGAGCCCCAAGCCCTAAACCCTAAACCCTAAACCCCTTAAACCCTAAACCCCTAAACCCTAAACCCGAAAACCCGAAAATCTCAACCCCAAGCCTCAATTCGTAGAAACAAACCCTGCGAAGACCAAGAGCAACTACGTAGGCTCCAGGGAGGCCGGGTTCCTCGATTTTTAGAGAGCCTTTTCTAAAGGGATCTATAGAAGGGCTCCTTTAAGGATTCCTGTAAGGGCTTCTTTAAGGGTTCCTCTATTTTTAGAGAGCCTTTTCTAAAGGGATCTATAGAAGGGCTCCTTTAAGGGTTCCTGTAAGGGCTTCTTTAAGGGTTCCTCGATTTTTAGAGAGCCTTTTTTAAGGGATCTATAGACTAGGACCCAGAGTAGGCCCTTATTCCCTTTTTAAAGGTTTAGGTTCCCTTCTAACCCCCTTTAAACCAAAAAGGGCACCCTTTTTATTCCTAGGTTACTCTTGGGTCTAGTAGAAGGGCTCCTTTAAGGGTTCCTAGAAGGGCTCCTTTAAGGGTTCCTTTGTTTTAGAGAGTCTTTTTTTCACGGATCTATAGAAGGGCTCCTTTAAGGGCTCCTTTTGAGGGTTCCTTTAAGGGATCTATCAGGGTTGCTGTAATACTAGAGGGGTTCAGGGTTTCGGGTTTTAGGGGTTGCTTCAGGGTTCCTTTCAGGGCTCTATTAGGGCTTCAGGGTTCCTTTAGGGGGTCCATTACGGGGCACTTTTGGAAGAAACACTAATTTTGTTTGTTTTGCATAGTAGAGGCTTGAATAATTAGAACAGCGTTTTGAGCCATGTCATAAAGCAGCGCCATGAAGGAAGCCGACGGAAGACTACAAGCAAATATTCCCCTAAGGGGCCATGTACCCATATAGAGATACATGAGCCCCAAAGTACCTGTATAGGGACTACATTAAGGGCAATGTATATACTATATGAGTACATGGACCCTTAGGGTTCAGGCACCCGTATTAGTCGGGCTTTGGGCTTGGAGTCTAGGCTACAACGAACGGGACTTGTCAGTCCGCCGGGACCTAAGCCGTAGCAACTCCTATTCTCGGTTCTTGTTAAGGAGTTTAATCTAAGCTACCATGACAGGGGTCTATAATAAATAATATGGTTTCCTTGTTATGTATTATGGTCACTTGCATCAAATCCCCTTAACAAAAGCCCAGTATTTGGGGTGGTTTGGGCGTAGATCCTTGTCAGTCGAACTACTTCCCAGCACATGCCTAGGGCTAGCACTAAGTAAGTGAGTTGTTGGGCTTGATGCTGGACGGCCTAGGCAGCTGGAGATCCAGATGAGTGGCGAGAGCGCTCCTTGGCTGACGTTGGATGTGCACGACTGCTACTACCAACTATTGTTCAAAACAGCTAGCACCACCACCAGCAGCACTACTACTGCCACTGCTACTACTGCTACTGCTACTGCTACTACTACTACTACTACTCCTCCTGCTGCTACTACTACTACTACTACTACTACTACTACCATTCCACCAACACTACTACGTAAACCCTAAGCCCCTATGTCGTACCCTTACAGTAACCCTCATAGATCCCTTCAAGGAAACTCTACACCCTATAGAAGAGAAAAGGTCTGGGCAGCTCCTGAAGGATGTCTTGGCCTCACGGATGCCATGGCCTCCACCTGCACAGCCACTCGGACTAAACCTGGTTTGGGGCCTTCGAAGTTGAGGCGTTTGAGAATTGCGTTTGCTTGAGGGTTTAGGTAGGTGGCTTGATGGTTTGGGTCGTGTAGGGTTTGGGGATTTCGAAGGCTGTGGGGTTTAAGACTTTAGGGTTTAGGGTTTAGGCCTAGGCGGGTTTAGGGGCTTTAGCGTTCATAAGGGTTTAGGGGTTGGGGTGTAGGGTTTAGGGAGCTGATGGCGTTGAGAAGGTCGTCTAATTCACAAGGCTTGTTTCAGTTTGTGTTTAAAGGCTGCTGTTGGTGGATTCTTTAGGGGATTTAGGAAGTTCCAAAAGAGTTTTCAAAGCCTTGAAGAGTTTATGAGATTAGAAACGAGTTTTTGGGTTTCAGGGTCATTGATGAGTGCTTGTTGCGTTGAGGGTTCGGCGCGGTGGGGGGGGGGGGGGGACATGCAGATTTGGTAACTCTTCACCTACCTAGATTTCTGCCAGTTCTCCAAACCTCGACCCTAAATATTAAAGACCATGAATCAAGAATCCCGGAGGGTCCATGTGCCTAAACAGCATATAGCTTTGCCTTCTAAAGTAGCTATATAGAGACTACTTTGAGGGCAAAGTATGTACTACGGTTGATTCAGATACATCCTGCAATATCCATCATAAGAATAAGCAATCTACCATAATTCCCACAGTCTAGGGGTCATTCAGGTAATGCAGGATTTGTATCATCAGCCGTATGTGAATGCATGGCCCCTTAGTTAGGGACCCAAAAATCACATAAGCATAAGCAGCATAAGCATGTCATAGGGATATCCCTACCTTATTGGGCTTCATTATAAGGGGGTTTATATGGGATATCCCTGTCCTTATTTTGGCTTATGTGCTTTTTGGGGGCCCTACTTAGGGAATGACGGTCCCCCCAAACCCTAAGCCCTCGTCGTATCATCCGATTCATTCTCGGCGCTCCCCTTGGGCCTCAACTCATCCTTCTTCTCCGGGTTTCGAAAGCCTTTAGGGTTTAGGGTTTAAGGGTTAAAGGGTTTAGGGTTTGAGGGTTTAAGGTTTAATATGGTTTAAGCTCATTAGAACAGGCTTTGGGCCTACACTGCTTCATGAAGCCGTCGCCTGTCAGGCGATGAACCTCCAGTGTGACACAGCTTACAATGCACGCCTCCGGGTGTCACTTGGCTGGAAGCATCCAATCTACGCCGAAACTCAGCCCACCACCCCAAGCCCCAAACCCAACACCCTAAGCCCTCAGAGTGTGGGGCTTATAACTTATATGTGCATCGTAGGTTTAGGGTTGAAGGTCCAGGGGCTCGAAAGAAGCGCGTCTTCTGGCAATCTGTGGCAGCGCAAATTCTGCGACTTGCTTTGGAGTTTAGGGTGTAGGGTTTAGAGTTTGGGGGTTTGTAGAAAAAGTGATTCTATGTGAATGTGTGCATGGACATATTCTATCGTTGTTCCTCACGAATTCAAGCCTCCCGTAACAATCCGCCAAAGTACTACAGACCGGTGCCTGTTGGGCACGGTAGAGTTTAGGGTTTGTTAAGTCCTAAACCGTAAACTTAAACTCTCATAAACTCTCCGGCTCTGCAGCGACGGCGGTGAAGAAGCTTTTTCTGTCTCAGGGTGGTTCGTTTGTGTTTGCATCTTCCGAAGCTGAGTTGCTTATCGTCGTCGTAATCCCGACATCCTGTACCCGAATTGCATCCCTAAGTCCGAGGGTCGAGACTCTGGTATTGATTGTTCAGGGTCCTCTGAACTCCGGGGAATGGGGTATAGGGACAACTATAGGGACTTTAAGGGACTATCATACGGCTGATGATATGAGTCCTGCATTCCCCACAATAGCCATAATTCCCATGGTTTAGGGTCATTAATTGAGGTAACATCATCCCTAAACCCTAATGAAACCCTAAAACCCTGTAGATCCCTTAAAGGAACCCCTTGCAGGTACCCTTACTCATCAACCGAAGGAATCCCCAGAGAGCCCAATCCCCCTTAATTAAGGAATATAGGCTTAAATCATCATATGAAGCCCCTAATGAGTTAAGGTATATTCCTTAATTAAGGGGTATTGGGCTCTCTGGGGAATCCATGGGGGTAAAGGCGCCTCATGCTTTCAAGGCTTTGCACCGTCACCGCTGCCAGCAGCGATTGGATGGCCTTCCCCGCCTTCAGCACAGCATATGCAGGCGCTGGAGCTTCAGCAGTTGAGGGGTTTAGGGCTTAGAGGGTTTATAGGGTTTATAGGGTTTATAGGGGGTTTATATAGGGTTTATAGGGTTTATAGGGCTCATGGGGTTTATAGGGGGTTTATATAGGGTTTATAGGGTTTATAGGGTTTATAGGGTTTATGGGGTTTATAGGGTTTATAGGGCTTATAGGGTTTATAGGGTTTATAGGGTTTATATAGGGCTTATGGGGTTTGTAGGGTTTAGGGTTCCCAGAGAGCCCAATACCACCTTAATTAAGGAGTATACCTTAAATTATTGGGGCTTCGCATTATGGTTTAAGCTATATTCCTTAATTCATGGATATTGGGCTCTCTGGGTTCAAGTAAGCAGCAAAGAGGTAGAGCTCTGTAGGGATCTTACGGAGTACCTGAAGACCTCACTTCATGGGACATCCAAGGACGCCGTCATAAGGAACCCTGCAAAAAGGTATGCCCACCAGTCAAATCCTAAACCTGAACTTGCTCGATGCCCTAAACCCGAGGCACCTAAACCCCAAACCCTATACTCTAGACCGGAAAGCTCATGGCTCAGGGTGTACTTGAACCCTAAGGAACCTACCTTATTAGGGCTCCCTAATATGATTTCTTTATATAAGTCCACAAAAAGGTAGGTTATTTGGGGTTAAGGTAATTGCTACTACCCAGGATAGATTTGTTTGTACCCTTGTCCAGGGGGTCTGGTCTCGGAACGTTTCTGAGACTCAACTGGTAATTAGAAAGAAGGCATGCGTGTTCCAATCTTCGTCATTGCGTGCCTGTATGCTGGGGCTTGTGCCCAAGTCTCGGCCATCGCCTCTACTTCGAGGTTCAGTGGGATAGGCAAAGCGGCACGTGTACAGCTTCAAGTGGCCTGGCCGGCACACCTTAAACCCCCTAACCTAAACCCAAAGCATGCAGCCATCATCTAAGCCTAAGCCGGGTCTCGGGCAGGGGCCACTCTTTTTTGCTGAACCTCCTTTCTATGCCCAAGAATCTCGTTATCAAGCTGGTGCCCTACCTTAAACTTAAACTACCAAGACTACCGTTTGTAAGTCCTTCCTATAAACCACAATCTATAATGTCGGGACTCCGAACATGCAGGGTTTGGTCGTGTACGGTAACACTATAAACCCTAAACTTGCCCTAAACCCTAAACCCGAACAGCCCTAAACCCTAAACCCGAATATAAACCCTAAACCTAAACCCCAATATAAACCCTGGACCATAAGCCCATTTTAAACCCTAAGCCCTAAACCCCGATATACGACCTTAGTTTAAACTCCAAACCCTCTTTGTTGAAGCCCTTGAGTTTTTTCGGCAGGCAGCTGCCAAAAGACGGCCTCGCCTCCTCAGCTGATTCGCCGCTGGGCCAAGGGGTTGAGTTTAGGATTTAATACACGGGCCTCAGTAATTACCACTAGGGCTGAGCTTTTCGAAGTTCTATGAATACAAGGGTTCTACAGGGCTTCCATGGGGTTCAGCACCTGGTGCTTATTAGGGTTGAGGGCTTGATTAGGGTTCCGGTTTGAGGACTACAGTTTGGGGCTTAGGGTTTGGGGCTTACGGTTTAGGGGCCGTAAGGGTTCTTTAGTGTGAAGCAGCATGGCCTAGTTCATAGTGCAGTGGCGCTCCTTATTTCCAGGTATATTCCGGGCTAAAGCCTAAACCCTGAACTCTATACATCCTGCACCCTGAACCCCGAAAGCCTCCTGGACGCCGCAAGAGACGCTTATAAAAATCTGCAAAACCCGATAAGCCAATTCCATCCGGGGTTTAGAAACGGGGTTTAGGGTGAAGCGTTGAGAGTTTAGGCGAACACCTCTCAAGCGATGCAGTGTGGTTTGAATTTAGGGCTCTCGTTTTCAGAAAACCGAGATTTGTCAACGCTTTTTGTGAAGCGCGGAGGAGGGTGGGCGGAGGTTAAGAGAAAGTGTTGGCGTGGTCGGTTGGAGATGCCTGTCAAAGACAGCCCTCATCCCCAAAACCCCTCATTCCCAAGATTCGGAAGCCCCTGAGTTGCTAAACCCGGTACTCTGAATCCGAAAACCTGAAATCCTCGGCTGATATGATTTTCCGGCTCGGGGGTCGCACTCCCCCGTTGATTTTTCTTTTAATGCTACCTTTCAAAGCTGGGTTTGGTGGCAGAACATTGAGAACCCCCTGACTGGAAACCCTTCAGGAACCCTTGCGGAGACCCTAAGCCCCACACCGCAAGCCCATGCAGAACCCTTTCAAGAAACTCTAAACCCTAAACCCTTGCAGGACCCCTTAAAGATCTCCAGGTAACTCGAGCCGCACTGCGACGAGCATCACCGTTGCTTTCATTGCTGGGCCTGGGCCTCAGTCTTCAGTGTTGCCGTTTAAGGGTTCAGGGGTTTAGGGTTTAGCTTTTGTTGAGTGGGTCATGATGTCCCTAAGGGTCCATGCCTTAGGGTGTGGGATTTGTGTTAGGATTTCAGGTTTAACGGCTTGGCGTCGACGTGTTTACGTTTAGGCTCAGAGGCGGGTCCGCCTCTGATGTACGAGCCGTTTCCTTTCCGTTCAAGATACATAGGATATTCTCGTAATTATCGGGATCTCTACAAATGATATAGCACATAGTAACATTTTCTTTGTAGTCCTTGTATGCTAGTACAAACAGGATACTCATACACCAATAGCAAAGTTCAAAAGCACGAGATGCTTACATTGCTCCAGATTTGATTTGTGGTTTGGTTTCCAGGCTCTCTCCGCGCGCGCTGGTTCCACGCAAAGTTGCCCGATGTCTTCTACAGGAACCCAGAAGATCCCCAAATAATTCATCCCGGAAGACCTAAACCTAAACCCCAACCCTCAGCCCCAAACCCTAAACCCCTAGCCCCTACACCCCTAAACCCTTAAGCCCCAAACCCTAAACCCTAGAACCCTAAACCCTAAAACCCTAAGCCCAAACCCTAAACCCTTAATCCCGAAGCCGACTCGAACCCCTCGAAGCCCATTCTGAAGTTTTTCCCCTAAAAAGGTCGGCAGGGGATTGCATCTTCCAGCGCTTCGAGCTTCAATACCAGGAGACCTCAGCTTCGGTTTTCGGTAGTAGTATTATTAGGGAGACCCCTTAAAGGGTACCCCTTCTGAACCCTACTTCTGGCTCTCTTAAATGGGGCCTTATTGAGAGGGTCGTCGTCAGCGTTGTTTTGTTTAGGACTTCTTCTGTAGTTTTCTTGTAAACAATCCCCACGAGATTATCTTAAAGCATGCATTGTGTTCAGTTCGGTCTAAGGCCGCTTGAGGTGTACCTAAACCTACCAAAACCTATAAAAAAGTAGGGTCCCTATAAATTTCATATTAGGGCTTATAATAAGAACCTACAAAAGGTAGGGTTTGGTAGGTTAAGGTAGGTAACCCGTAACCTTCTTGTGGCTTTCTAGCCCCATACGAAATCTTGAAGGTTCGGCTTCAGTTCCGCTGGGACGCTAGGGTCCGGACGATCAGTCCCTTGAAGGGTTCTATGGCATATGTATATGAGAGTTTCCGAAAATAGGGGGCCCTAATATAATACCCTAAATAGTAGGATCCTTATTACAAGGACCCCCAAAATAAGGTATCCCTATTTTCAGAAACCCCCATATGGGGTCAGGACATTGCAGGGTTTAACGGCTTCGGAGTTCAGGTTTCGGCTTCTGAGGTTCGGGGTGCAGGGCTTCAGAGTCTAGGCTTTGGGTCCTTAGACTCTTTGAGGTTCCGGGCTTAAGCTTTCTGCCTCGGTGGCTCACCTTAACCCCAACTACCCCCCTAAACACGAAACCTTAAACCGGTACTTGACCTGTTAAGGACTTTTATAAGGAAATCGGAGGAAGGACCCCTAAAAATGTCGGTTACATAGGGTCCAGGCAGGTCTGGAAACCCCAAGCCCTAAACCTCAAAAGGCTCTCCAAGCAAGCCTTACATCATCTTACATTCCGAACCTGAGTTCTTCTGAATGAAACTACTTCAAATTGCCTTTACTCCTTAATAAGAACCCAGAAACGGTATCCCTAGGTTTGTTCGGAGTGTAGGACAAGTGCAGGATAGACATGTTTCAAGGCCGGTTAAGCGTAAGGCTTATGATTTGAAGTTCAGCGGTGCGGGGTCTGGTTTCGATTTCTCCTCTGAAGCCTAAACCCTATATACTATAAGACCTCAATAATTACCTATACTATTTTAGGAGTTCCCGATTATGATTACAGTATAATTGCCCCAAAATTCTATTCTAAGTATTAATGCCCTTATGGACATGAACCCTAGCGGATAAGTGTTTATAGACTCGAGGGATGCCGTTTGCGCAGTGTTGCGGAGTGCTGTGGGAAACAGGAGGAAGCCGCCACTGCCTGGGAAACAGCGCCGAGACCTCAGATTCTGGCGAAATTAGATCGGAGTTTCCGAACATACGGGGGGGCTCCTGATTTTCGTGACGTTGTTTTCCGTAGGTAAAGTCACCACTGCTTAAGAAAGCTCAGCTTGAGGCTGCAGCATGAGGGTGCCCGAGAGAAGGAGCCCACTGAGAGCCTTCGGATGTCTTCAGTCGGGCTTCCTGGCATTGATCCTGTTTTCCTGCCGTTTGTGTGCAGTCCGCAGCCCGCCAAACTGGTGGTCCACGGAGGAAGCCTGGAAGCATCGCAGAAGCCGAGCTCCTCTCACACCTGGCGGTGCTTTTGCTGCCGGAAGAGCCGATCGAAAGGCTCTTTCGGGACTTCCCAGTGGTGGAGCAGAGCGAGGGATGGAGCCGCATCCTGATCGAAGAATCAGCCTGCAGAACTTCGTGGAGGATCCTGGTGGGAGCTCCCGGCAAGCAGCGGCTGCATTTACAGATGGAGTAGCTGCGCAGCGTGCGCGTGACTTCGACCCAGCACCTTTGTATGACTTCAGCTGCGTGTGTCCATTTCCGAGGCGGAGGAACTCGTTGGAAAATGCCCAGCTTTAGCACGTCGTAGTATCGAACATAGCCTCCAACCCCGGATGCAGTTTCTGGAAGCTTGGGGTCTGACGAGGGCCCAGATTGCCCAAGTCATCGCACGATTCCCAGGTATCTTGGGACTTAGCATCGAAGGGATCTTGGAGCCCAAGGTCCGATGGCTGCGCGTGCTTGGATTGACGAAAACCCAGATAGCGAATGTGGTTGCACGATATCCGTCGGTGTTTGGATGCAGCATCGAGGCGAACTTGAAGCCCACGACCGATTGGCTTCGAGCTCTGGGCCTGACGAAGGTTGCGGCTGCCAAAGTGATTCGCGACATCCGAATCTCCTCGGGCTCAGCCTCGAGAAGAACTTGAAGCCTACAGTCCAGTGGCTTCGAGATTCTGGACTGACGAAATTGCTGAGGTTGCCAAAGTGATGACTCGCAACGCAAGCATGTTGTGGAAAAGCATCGAAGAGAACTTGAAGCCCACCGTCCATTGGCTGCGAGATACAGGGCTGACGAAAGCCCAGGTTGCTAGTGTTATTTCTCAGTGTCCTTCAGTATTGGGATACAGCATCCACGAGAACTTGAAGCCCACGACTGAGTGGCTTCGAGAATTGGGGTTGACAAAGGCTGAGGTTGTCAGAGTGATTGCACGAAAACCGCCAGCGTTGGGATACAGCATCGAAGACAACTTGAAGCCCAGGGTCCAGTGGCTTCGAGACATGGGACTGACGGAAGCTGAGGCTGCCATGGTGGCAGCTAGATGTGCACCTTTCTGGGGTCTGAGCCTGGAGAAAAACTTGAAGCCAAAGGTACACTGGCTGCTGGAGCGGTTCTCCTCAAAGCATGTTTGCCATTTGCTCACGCGGAATCCGTACATGTTTGGGCTGAGTTTGAAGCGCTGGGCCCGGCGGTCCCAGATTCTCGAGGAGTGCGGGAAGCTGGATGTGTTCGGTTCTGCGGTACAGTTGACGGATGCAGCTTGTGCAAAAGTGAGTAGCAAGTTCAGACCAGTTTATGGAGTTGGGCCTTGCAGGGTTTTGTGATAGGTGCAGTACCTCTTCCAAACCTTGCGAAAAAGTGATTATGGCGATGGGTGACGATACTGCCTGCAGGAGCTTACCGTATGCTATAGCTCTTGATATTCCGTTGTCGGGATTGGGCATGTATGGCTTGCAGTTGTGAGATCTGAGCTGGCTCCCGGTTGGATTTCAGCAGTCTTTCTGTTGACACGGCAGTACACGTGGAGGACATGTACATGTCCAGTCAAGGCAAGGGACCTTCTTTTAATCTGTCGCCTATACAAGCGCAAAATCAGATTTGAACCGCAACCTCTTTTCGGGTCAGTTGGTCCCAAGAGTTTTCGAAACTAGCACCTGTGAATAGCACCCATTGGAGGGGCATCGTCCTTTTCGCTCTCCGGTGCAGCCGGCCTTGTTAGACAAAATCCTCAGGCCGTCGACCTGCGGATCCCTGAGTGTACGGTCTGGGCCAAGTTGTACCATTTCCAACCTCGCCCAGGCACACACCATGGCGGTTCAGGGGCTTTAGGAGGATTACAGTGGGCTTTTGGGGTCCGGGATTTAGAGGGCTTTGAGATTTGTGAAATTGGGGGATGGAGGGGTGGTTCGAAACTAGATGCTTGTAAGATTTTTGGTTTGATGAGAGGAGTTGGGATTTCTTTTATCATAGGACTTCTTTTGCCGCATTGGTCTGAGGCACATGTATACCTCTCTTGAAAAGTAGTAAGTAGTAGTTGATTCCAGTTTAAACCCTGGACCCACAAACCTATAAACCATATAAACCTGTAAGTCATTATGTAACCCTACAAGCTTCAAGCGGATCATTGGGTTTCTCGCTACAGTTTCCGAGCTTCGGGCTGACGAATGTAGAGCAATAGCTCTGGGGCCTGTGCGCTATTCGGGTGCTACCCGTAGAGAGCAGGTTCTCTTTGATATAGGAATTAGTACCATGGTTGGTGCAAGTATCCCCTAGAATCGACAAAGGTACTCAGGACCTTACAGGGTATTGCAAGTTCCAGTTTTGGGACTGCATGAAGCTCACTGGGTAGTCATTTAGGGGCGCTAAACATAAAACCGTGTGCCAAGCCCCTAGGGTTTACAGGGGGGTCTACATACGGATTGCTTCGAGGATCTGATGGGGCCCTAGCTGCTGCTTTACATCGATTGCATATGGAAGCCCGTATACAATACGGCTTAGGGGCTTAGTTCTAGTGCCAAATACCCCCCAACCCTTTTCTGATTATTCAGGCTTGGAGATCCCTAAGGCTATGGACAAAGACCGTGCTCTAGACGGGTTTCTGTGACATTTTGATCTTGAGGGTATGCGACCCCTACAAAGCTTAAGCCTCTAAGGCTGTAAGACCCCATAAAGCTTATATAAAGCTTCACATAGCCCTATAAATTCCTTGTAAGGCTGTGTAAAGCCCTCAATAGCAACCCTCGCTTGCTCTAGTGTGGTTTCCACACTTCCAGGTCTTCACAGTTCCAGGTGTCCAGCTGTGCCCAAGCCCCACACCCTAAACCCTCAGCAGCTTTTTTGCATTGGCTTGCAGCGCTCTCCGCCCTATCGACTCTTATGTTCCGTCGCTCCCTGGTCCCTCTCTTGCACAACTCTGCCAAAATCTGCTTGCTTTTTGGAGCCCCTCTCTCTCTCTCTCTCTCTCTCTCGCTCTGTCTCTCCTTTTCCCTCTCTTCTTCTAATCTAGGAAGGTTCATTAAGACTCCAATCTTCGTTCCGGATACGCACCCGTGTTCCCGACCAGGGCTTGCCCCTTCTTGGCACGGCGTGTCCCAGGAAGTGCCTTCCTGACAGATGCACACGGTGTGCCGGTTTTGAATGGCGCCGTCCACTGCGTCGCGGCACTCAAGCGATTCCCTAAGGGTCCATGTACCTAAATAGTACATACATTGGCCTTAAAGTAGCCCCTAAAAAGGTACACTGGGGCCAAAGTATATACTATTTGGGTACATGGACCCTTAGGGATTGGTGCCAAAAGAACTTCAAGAAAGCCGCCGGGATGCTGCAGCATCCGCATGCACACGAGGAACTCTGCAAGCACTGCACGAGCCCACCGAGCAGTAGAGATCGAGTGTGAGGCGCCAAAGGAGGATCCCAGAGAGCCCAATACCCCTTAATTAAGGAATATGGCTTAAATCATAATATGAAGCCCCATTATAATTTAAGGTATATTGCTTAATTAAGGTGTATTGGGCTCTCTGGGAGGGAGTTTTCCCCGCACTTCCTCCCAAGCTCCGGTCCGCAAGAGCGTCATGACAGAGTACCTTGAGCCGGAATAACCTACCTTTTAGGGACTTATATAAGGAAATCATAATACGGAACTCTAAAAAGGTAGGTTATTCCGGCTTAAGGTATGCCATACAACAGAAGTTCGGCCTCTTGAAAGTGGACCAGTACCTCGCGATGCAACCCGAAGCGCTGCATGCTTTCCCTCGTGCCCCGGCTCCGTCAAGCCGAGAAGCATCGTTCCAAGACTGCTGTATATAGCAAAATGTTAGCCCCGGAACCCGTGAACCACTAGACCTGTATTGAGTCCTTTCCCTAAACCATAAACCGCTAAGCCCTAAACCCCAAACCCTAAGCCCTTAACCCTATAAGCCCAAAAACCCCTAAACCCTGAACCCTAAACCTGAAACCCCTAAGCGAAGGACACAGCCTACAACTTTCGAGCGCGCGAGCTTTGTACGAACGGCGCCCCCCTGGCGTCTCCTTGGGGCCTCACGGAGGAGCCGTTGAGCATGAAGGTCTTAATTCGGTTTTACTTGGAAGGGCAGGGGACTTAGGAAGTAGGTTATAAGTAGAGTTATGAGTGCCCTAAATGGAGTTACCCCAAGTATAACCCTACTTATAACCTATATACTCAGTCCCCTGCCCTTCCAAGTAGGATTTTGGGTGCAGGTTGATTTACGAATTCAGTGTTTATTTCGTGGAGCCTACATAACCCTCCTTTTTGGGGGGCCTCTGTATTATGATTTCCTCGCTCCGTGTCTGCCAGTGTCGTGGTGATGTTGACGGTGATTGCAGGGATAGTCGTGGCAGTTGAGCATTGCCACGCTTACGTTGAAGGGGATTAGCCCTGAACCGAACAAACGGGCCGTACTTTAGGTACGGCTGTCGGGTTAATGATCATCTTTAACAGTTGGAAGCATGCCAGGCGGAGGGCTATAATCAGGGTCTATGTAGTATCTGGGGTGGGGTTTGTGGAGTTTCGGATTTATTCTTTAGGGTTTAGGCCTTCCTGACTTTCAGCATGAAGAACTCAGGGTCCAGAATTGTTGTGTTTATGCTTGAGGGTGTAGGTTCTAATTAATCTAAGATCCCAAACCCAAAGGCTGCAGACGGTTTGGGGTCCGGTTTCAATCGAAAGCTTGATTCATGCAGCTGCACACTGTGAACCTTCTGAAGGGTCAAGGAAAGCCTTCGTATCGTTCTGGTTCAGGGCTTGCTGAACGTGAAGTTCTGGTTCAGAAGTAGTTCTAGGGTCTAATCTTACATTTTGAGATGTTTAGATTGCATTGGGGGGGGGGGGGGGGGGTTACGGGGTGTAGCTGCTTCTTCCGCATAGAAAAGTGCAATAACCTGAAGTCAACTCCTCAAGCCTTGTAGTCCCAAATCGTCAAAGTCGTGGAAGCTGACCTAATTTCTGGTGCCTAGACAGATGGTAGACAGTGTTCGGTTTGGGGTGCCGGAGCTACGTGAGTATTTTGTATGTAACAAAGAACTCTCCGGGATACCCCATGGCCTGCGCAGCCCCTCGGAATGCATGTGGGAAGTTGTCAAAATTAGGGTCCCTTTTTGGGGTACCCTAAATATAAGGTGCCGTATTATAATAAGGACCCAAAGCGGGACCCTACTTTTAATTATAATACGGCACCTATTATTTAGGGTCCAAAAACAACGGACCTTGATTTTGACAACTACCCATATATAGGGGTCCTTGAATAAGTAGACTAGTACCTTCAGGGTTCCTGAATATAGTTATCTAGAAAATACACATGTCGCTCGTCTAAGTATAAACTACTCTAAACCTACCCAGAGGAGCCCACGACCCCATCATTAAGGAGTATAGCTTTGCTCACAATACGAAGCTCCTAATGATGATAAGGTATATTCCTTAATTACGGGGTACGTGTTGGGCTCTCTGGGTCTGCCGGGATCCTACAAAACCTACCTTGTTTTAAATCTATGACATAACAACAGCACAATACCTTATTAAGGATATTAAGGGGTTCACATATTGGGATCTCTGGGTACGCCTAAACCGAAACGGAGAAGGCGCCCCTGCGGACAAGCTTCGTGCCTCTTGCTGGGGGCCCTGTTCCAGAGTTTAGGGATAAGGGTTTAGGGATTAGGGTTTAGGGATTAGGGTTTAGGGATTAGGGGTTAGGGTTTAGGGATTATGGTTTAGGGATTACTGTAGGGTTTGGGGATTAGGATACAGAGTTTTAGGTTTCAGGGCTGTGTTTGTGTCTCCCCGCAGAAGACAAGACTTGTCGGTTCAGGTACCTTCCTTTGGGGATTCCTTTTCGAGGGCTTGGGCATAGGGCCATTCCTTTGTGGTTTTTGGACAAGGGTATTGTGGGGTGCAAAATGGTTTGGGGAATAATGGGCAATATAGAAGCCCGGTCGGGCAACGGTGCTACTCCTTCAGAGTACATGTCATCACTTACTTAGCCAGTTGGAGAACTTTAAACTTTTTGGCTTTATGTAGTTGGTCTATCTTACAAAGTCTGAGCTTTTTTGGTGCCTGGTTATTGGAGAAGAGAGTCAAGAGAACATGCCACAAAACTCTGTCCCAACTATAAAGGTCCCTACAGTCGCGTGTACGGTGCGCGGTTTGGGATTCGAGAGACCAGCTCTTGACGAAGCTAAAAGTGCAGGGTTTAAGTTCCAGGATTCATGACTAAAAGAAATTGAAAAGAATTCAGGGCACATGATTCCCTCAGGCTCTAAGAACCGAAATCATCGAGGGTTCAATGCGACGCAAATTCTGGGGGGGCGGCACGGGGCAACCATTTGGCTTTGGACTTGATTCCTTTGGCGATAAACCCTAAGCCCTAAACCTTTGGCGACTCAGCCGCCGACGACATCATGCTACACCCGGAAGGCCATTGCCGCGAAACCCCAGCTGCTAAATCGTCTTTGCCGAGAGCATGGGTTTGGTGTGTTGGCTTGGGCATTCAGATTAAAGTCTTCAAGACTATAGGGGTTATTATAAGGGATCTATAGTAAGGTACTATAATATGGTGGCCTTAACAATTAGAATAGGGTTTTGGGGCCGTCTTGGTAGGGTTCAGTGCTATTCATGGTTCCTGGACATCTTCGAGCATTCCTAACAGTACGACAGACCCCATGTCAAAGCCGAAAATGCGGACCCCAAGTCCTGCGCTCCCTCTAGGGTTTCTAGGGTTTAGGATTTAGGGTTTAGCACTTATAGGGTTGGGGTTTACAGGGTTTATTAGGGATAGGCCTGAAATACCCAGTATTGAGGGGTAGAAGGCCTCGGTTAAGGGCAGTCCGGTGTGTCCTAGGAACACTCCGAGCCTCCGCATGACTACAATGGGCAGCGGCGAGAAATTCATGATTTATTTCTACCTGCGACGCCGTGGCAATTTTGCACTGGCTGCTGCCGAGACTCCGAGGAGCTTTACCAACATCGCGCCCACCCGGCCGTCCGGCCGCCCTAGGGTTTAGGGTTTAGGGTTTAGGGCTAAACCCTAAACCCTAAACCCTAAACCATTCAAATGCCCGGCACTGGTTCGCAAGAACTGGCTGAACCAGCTACCGGCAATTTGGAAGCACCTCATGGGCTTTACTCGCGACTTCTTCCTGCGTACTAAGCCCTCCCAGCAGCGACAAGCGGCGACTGCATCGGCTTTTTGGCAGGGTCTGAATCGCTGACGTTTCAAGCGTATTTTTGTTAGGCCTTATTAGCTTTAAACCGACACAAAGGGTCCGCATGGAATGGGGACCTAAGGTTAGGGTCGGGATCCCCCTTAGCCCTAATTAGCCTACCTTTTCAACGACTGTTGTTTGGAAATCATAATGGTGAGCACTGAAAAGATAAGTTTCTTATGGTCCAGGTATGGCATAACATGGGACCGGTCGATGTTTCAGGTGGAGCCGCCCACCTACCTGGAGCCGCAAGGGCTGATTTCGCCGGTGGATCCGCCGACAAGGACTCAGTTCCACTTTAGGGTTTAGGGGCCTTAGAATTAGAACTGACTATAACTACTTGTACAAGGATTGCAGAGATGTTCGGACCCGGGGCCAGAGATTTAAGTGAGTGTCATGAGGGCCTTTGCAGGCATATGTAGTTTTCAGTGGGTTGTTGGAACTACGGTTGATGGTATAAACCCTGCATTACCTTAGTGACCCTAAACTATGGGAAGTATGGCATATTCCTTATTATGTGTAATGCCGGATTTATATCATCAGCCGTAGGATTTGGGGGACCAGGGTTGAGGACTATAGGGTTGCACTTAGGTACTGCCCCCATGCAGTAAGAGTCTACAGTAGGGCTACTATTAAGGTCCTAATATATCTATGTTATGAATATTATTCAACTATTACTGAGTGGGGGCCGTACCCAAGTTTGCACTTTTATTTGAGGACTTCGAGTCCGAAGGGTTTTGGGGCACCAAAAGTTTTGGCTGTGAAGCTTTCAGCAGTTGGGGATCGTGGTTCGGGCTTTTGGTAAAGTCTGGTGAGGGTTGGGGTTTGGGTTCATGAAGTTCAAAAACTCAAGTTTGGAGTTTAGGGTCAGTCTAATTAGAGTGAGGCTTGGGATTTCAATTTGTTCGTTGAGTGCTAGCAGTATGTATGACCCTAACAGACACTCAAACACCGAAACCCGCGAATCGTCATCACAACTGGTCAGCCCAAATAGATGACCGTTCTTTTCAGAACTCCGCAAACCGAGAAACCGCGAAACGGAAAGCTTGTAAACACGGACAGGCTCGTGCTCATCTTCGAGGTGGACCTCCAGCTCAGTAACTCTGGGGCTACGTCGCTTGCGCGCAAGAAGGTAGCAGAGTTTAGGTTCCACCCACAGGCTCCATAGTAGTTCCTTTTGGGATTAGCTTATAGGATTCTTAATATGAACCACAAAAGGGAACTACTATGGAGCCCCTGGGCAGTTTGAGGCTTGTAGCTGCAGGTGTTAGGGTCTCGGGCTTTAGAGTGTAGATTCTTAGATGAGTGTGTACATATGTAGTCATATGTGTGTGTGTATACATATATATATATATATACATATGTGTGTTTATATATACATGTGTTAGTTCTTTATTTATCTCATGTGCGTACGGCTTAAGTTCCGGATTCTGTCAGAGTTTTGGGACTACTGACATGTTTACGGGGCAGGTTTGGGTGTCGGACGCTCTGGGAAAAGACGAGGGGGGGGACTCGACAAGGATATTCAATATCAAGGAGGCCTCGAAATTAGACTACTTCCAGGGTCAGGCTGTGTAGCGAGATCGCCCCGACATCCACGATGACGTTCGTCCAGCGAAGTAACTCATCCACAAGACGAAAGGTTTGCTGATGTTGGGATGCACCATGCTCACGAAAGGCCGCTGGGATGCAGCGAACTCCGCGACGGGCCATCGTTTGCAATGATTACTGCGACACCGCTTCCTCAAGGGACACGGTTTTTCCCCCCTTAGCCCATCAGCAGCAGAGCTTTTTGCGTATGGGCAGGAAGGCATCGATGCACAGCGATCGGTGCTTGGCTTCAGAAGTTCCAGGAGATCGTCGCAGGTTTCAGCCGGACAACAGCTGCACACATGGCGACACAATGCCAGAGCATCTTCAACTGGATTTAGGATTTAGGGTTTTAGGATTTAGGATTTAGGATCTACGATTTAGGATTTAGGATTTAGGGTTTAGGATTTAGGATTTAGGGTTTAGGATGTAGGACTGGCCCCCTACATCCCAAAGGGTGCTAAGTACCTATTATAGTTAGTTGTCAAAATTAATGCCCCTTTTTTGATACCCTAAATGAATAATAGGTGCCGTACTACATTAGGGACCCGAAAAGGATCCATAATTTTGACAACCACCCATATAGTAGAATGTAGGGCTTATATATTGGGCATCATTGTTATGATTTCGGGAAGTATCTCCTGTATCGCATGCGTTTTCCTGGTTCAAGAAGGCCGAACCTTCGTTACAGAGCTGTAGTATCAAAACCCTCTTTAATGGCTATCGAGCCTTTGCAAAACGAGTTTTGGCCGTCCTCAAAATATGGTTTCGGCATTCAGCTGCAGGGTTGAGAGTCAAAGCACTAAGGGTCTTGGAATCCGGGTGTAAGAAATCCCCTACGACGTTCATGACCACAGCTACCCGACACCGCTATAGGCTATGGTCTTACGGCAGCCATAACCGTAGCTCGTCTCTTTTGGTGCCCACTTCCTTAAGGCTGAGTTTGTGTCCGACGTGGATTCCCACTGCTACGCCTGCGGACCCCGGTGTGTGCAATTGCGTCCCCCGGCTCGCACGACATGGGTGCTTGGGATTTAGGTTTTAGGGTTGGGGACGTCGGGTTCAAGGTTGGGGATGTAGGGTTCAATGTTTTTTGGGTTTAGGGGTTCAGGGTTTAAGGTTCGGGATGCAGGGTTCAGGGTTGGGGATTGAGGGGTTTGGGGGTCTAGGATTTGGGATTGTTTCTTTTCTTAAAGGTACCGAGCACAGGAGCCAGTGGGAGCTACTATGTAGCAGCAGGTCTGGAGTTCTAACCAGAATTGGGTTGGGGCCCCGTCGGGGGTTCCAGGATTCCAGGCGTTCCACAAGTCCTACTCTGCAATAATAGTATCTTCTTGCAGCTCCTCTGCTTCACAGCATCAATCCAAAAGGCACTGCCAGCTATCCAAGCTATGGAGGCCCCTGTGTCAAATCCATCGATATCTATCCAAGGGTTGAGGTTCAGCGCTAGCAGTCACTAGCACACCCGCCGACAACCATCCACTTCTTCGTCCAACAAGTGCAGGACACAAGTTCGCCGCACAACATCACGGCAGAAGTCCTCAGCCCTAAACCCATAAGTCGACAGAAATATGATGTATAAGTTAGAAACCCTAAGCCTTAAGCCCGCTAGTTCAGTTTATGCCGCACTGGCCTTGATAGTGATTAGGGCCGTCTCATTCGTGACATACATATGTATGTATGTATGTATGTATGTATATACATATATATATATATATATATATATATACTATATATATATATACATGTACTACTATGTACATGTATATATTCACGCTTGAAAGAATATCAACATATCAAGATTATGCCTTTGGGTGTAGGTCTATGCTATGACGTGGCACCTAAAATGTGCCGGTGAGCAGTTCCGACCTGTCCTCTCAAGCACTTGCAAAGTTTACTTCTGGCAGTGAAGTCAGAATACCTTCAGACGTTTTCAGAACCCACAGACGGTGTAGGGTTCACGGTTCAACGGTAAACCGGTTTAGGGCGACTGGTACGATTTTGCAACCAGTGTCGATCCGTGTTTTAGTAGACTGTTTCAGGCTTTCGTCGTATTTCGTGACTGGGATGGTTTTCGTTGCTTAGTTACTACGACAGCTGAAAGGCCTTGAGAATCCGTGTGTAATAAGACAGCGCTGCTTGATTTATCCCCCGAATGCGATAAGCCTAAGCCCTAGCCTAAGCCGTTGACCCTCCAAGACCCCCAAGCATTTCAATACCTGAGCTCTAATTAGCCCTCACCCTGATGCCTCGATCATTGAACCCCATAAAGGGAACTCCAGAAAGTTGGAATATGGTTTCAGGGTAGGATACCCTATAATTTACCATAAAAGGTTTAGGATAATCATATTCCAACTTTCTGGCTTTTACTTTAAACTCGTGCTAGGCGACCGCATCAACCGTGTAGGTGCCCTTGGACCCAAACTCAGCGCATCTGACCCAGGCCACTTCAGCCGAGTGCCAGGCAGGACCAGTTGCAGAGCAACAGCAGGGCAAGGTAGTAGAAATCCTGGTGGTATGCTGCCGCCATTTGCTGTCTGCCCTCCCCTCCACAATAAGTGTAGTTTGCAGTGACCTTGGGGAGAGGAGTGAGCAAGGCAGTGGACAGAGCCCTTGCAAGACGATATCAAAATCCTTCTAGAAACGTTCTAGGGTCCAGGCTGTAGAATTACGGGGATTTAGGGTCTAGGGTTCAGACATGATCAGACCCTTGTGGAACCCTTGCATGAGCCCTCATAAGGCCTTCGTGCCCTCATGGAACCCGTTTATGAACCCTTACGAAACCCTCATCCCTCAACCCAAACTCCAAGCCCTATATGAATCCCTTAACCCTCATCCCTCGCCAGACCCCAAGCCCTAACTCCCTCCACCCTCCTCCCCGCCCAAAAACGCAAACCCTAGATCCCTCGATCCCCATCCCCAAATCCCTCGACCTCTATATGGGAGTTTCCGAAAATAGGGGACCCTAATATAGTACCCTAAATAGTAGGATCCTTACTATAAGGACCCCCCCAAGTAAGGTACCCCTAATATTCGGAAACCCTAAAACCCTTATAGAGCCCTTAAAAGGAACCTTTATAGTATCCTTATAGTAACCGTTTAAAGGAGCCCTAAGGTACCCCTAATTTTCGGAGACTCCCATATCCCCAAACCCTCATCTCTCAGCCTTCATCCTCCAGAGTTTTTGATTTTCCGGGCGCGAAGAAAGGGTTTGGCCTTGCACCGTTTAGGTATGAGGGATTTTTTTTGGAGATTCAGGGGGGGGAGGGCTCCTAAAGGGATCTATAGGGTTTAGGGATTAGGCTTGAGGGTGCAAGTTAGTTCTAAGTAGGATTTTTTCGTATTCAACGGTACTTACGACCCATATTAGGGGACAAATAACCCTGCCTTTTTTCTACCCATGAACCTCCAAGTAGGGTTTAGAGTTGTAGGGGGGACGGGTTGAGCCTGGATCCAGGCGCAGTGCTTGACTCCCGCGACCATGACGGCGAGAGCCTTAATGGGGACCACATTTGCTAACCATTGATATTGGAGGAGCGAAGGAGCCAGGGATGATGATAATCCCTACTAAATCCCAAAACCACTGGTTAGTGTGTCTGTAAGGTTTTTGTTAAGCTGCTTCTTTCATAAGATCAACTTGGCCAACACAGCAGTGCCTGTACGAGGCCACAAGCAGAACGCCGCACGCAGTGACCGTACTTCAGGGCATGCCTGATGGTGTCCTACATTCAAATCCTAAACCTCTCAACCCTATGCCTTTGATCCTGGGAGACACTAAAATCGCGGCATTGTTTTATGCCATGTTGTTTGTAACCCTAAAGCTCTAAGAACTCAGGTGTTCAGGCTTTCGGGACCAAAGCCCATACGAAATAACGCTTTCGCGCTATGTTGAGCCTTAGTGTAAGGGTGCTCGGTTCTGAGTGGGTTACCATCTCTAGCCCAGACATCAGTTCTGGGTGTTGTAAGCCGCTAGAAGCTGTTTTGCGGAGGAAGGCCGTGGCGGCAGTTCTGGGTATGTTTATTCCTTGATCTTGGGTACTGCCCCACTCAGTAACAGTTGGATAAAATTCAAAATATAGATACATTAGGCCCTTAGTAGTAGCCCTATTATAGACTGTTACGGTATGGGGGCCGTACCCAACCTTGATCCCACTTGTACCGCCTACCCGGCCCTCGCGGCCCGAGATGACCCCAGATCCAAACTAACCATTGCTAACCCGAAACACACATCTCTGAGTCACTTCCCTTACCCTAAACACAACTCGCAAGAACGCCGAGGTCGAAATGGTGACGCCACGCGTGCTCTTTGCGCAGTTTGGCTCTGTCTTGCGGCCTCTAACTGGATGCCCCTACATTGCGCTGTTGGAGGCCATCTGTGAGACCTGGGATGATCTAGCGCAGGATCTAGGAATCTCGGATTTCTGGTCGGTTTTTTTTGGAAATGGGGTTTCGGGTTTTGCTGGCGTTTAACTTCATGTCTTGGGGACCCTAAACCCCAAGCCCTAAACTACTAAAACCTAAATTGAACTACTAAACCTTAAAACCTAAACTACTCAGCCCTAAACCCTACCTTAAGCCGGAATAACCTACCTTTTTAAGGACTTATATAAGGAAACCCTAACAAGGAAGCCTAAAAAGGTAGGTTATTCCGGCTTAAGGTAGTCTTATAGGCATCACAGAGCGACCGGGCTTCAGCTCTTATCCTCACAGGGGTCTTAAGCGCGTTAGTAGGGTTTAGTCTCCATTGTAGTTCCTTGTTTTGGTTATCCAGTTTTATGGTTATGATCCTATAATAGATTTTTTGGTTAACCAAGAAAATGAACTACAATGGAGACTATAGGTAGGGTCTTAAGCTGGGGGCTCGAGAGATCAGGTTCCATCGCGTTTCGGTGAGTTCGGTGGCACCAACTCTCCCCACGGTTGATGATATAAGTCCTGCATTACCCATAATAAGGAACATATGGGAATTATGGTATATTCCTTATTATGGGTCATGCAGGATTTTTATCATCAACAGAAGTAGCTTTTCCTGGGGCTTAATCCTGAAATCTGAACCGTATGTGCTTTGACCACGCACAACCCAACGGATTTGTGCTGTGATCTCAATGCAAACCGGCAATGTGCCAGCTCCTCCCCGGGCTTGAATACTTACGAATGAACATCATGATAATGATAGTAATGGTGATGAAGGTAATATTTCTTGTTATTATTGCTGTTAATACTATTCTTAGGATTACTACTATCATTACTATGTGACTGTTTATATGGCAACAGTATTTTTACTGTTACATATTCTTATTGTTATTGTTTTCATTCCTGGGTGTTCCTGGTTATGTGTATATTGTACGATACCCAAACCTGTTCTAATTATGAAGGCCTTTGTCATTGGGAGTTTGGGCTTTCGAGTAACCCAATGAATCCTTATCAAGGTCCCTTATTAAAGGTTTATGAAGCCCTAGAAGATCAAGTGTTGAATCCCTCCAAAACAGAGGTTAAACAGGTAGGTTCTGCAGGGTGGAATCTTTGGACTTGAACTATAAGCCCCCGATTCCCAAAATCCTAAACCGTACAAGCCTTTGAATTCTTTGCTGGATCCCTGAAAAGGGCCCTTGGCTTAAGCGAGTGTCGACAGGCCGGGTACCTACAGACCCAGCTGCAACCATCAAATCCTGCACCAAGGACAACGTTTTGTCCATGGTGTAATTTGCACGGCCATAACTGAGGGTTGGGGATAGTTTTTGTTATTTACAGGGCCTGTGCGAGGTTGTGAACGCGCTCATAGTGTTTTAAAGGGTTTGTGGAAGAGGGACTCTAAGGGAATAATGTCTCCGTAAGCTCCTTGCAAGGTGCACAGGGGTCTGGTGAGGCTTTCCGGCTTGAGGAAACGAGCAGGTAATACGAATAGGGTGTTGGGCTAGATGTTACTAGAAGCATAAGAGTATAACTTGCATAAAGTTCTAGTCGATGATGATAATAGGGTCTATGAGGGAGCGCTTTGGCCTCTGATTGGGATCCGTACAGGAAGGCACTATGCGTTGGGGGATACCTCTATGCCCTAAGTGCTTAACCCCCGGCTAAAAAAAACAGAAGTCTCATACCCGACACCCTATATCTCGCGCAACATCTTTCGTTAGAACTCGTTGTCGCAGATTGAATTAGGGTAACAGCGACCTGGAAGCACAGAGATCGCCAAAGTCTCGGTTGGGGTTCCTTTCTTGGTGGGCCAGTTCTTTGATTAGAATCCTCTCACAAGCCATAAGCAGTCAAGAGAATCCAACAACAAACCCGATCGCTGAGGTGCTGTGGGGCTAGGTAGACCATTACCCTAGTAGCCTAGAAGTAGAGTAGGTAGCCTTTAGCCATTCTTGGGTAGTATAGATAGTCCCTATATAATCCCTATATAGCCATAAAGGTTAACCTTTAGTTCCCCATGATACCCGACAAGTAGGTTACAGAGGATCAGCGAACCGGTTCCTTCCCGAGCCCCATGCAGAGCTGTGCGAAAAAAGCTTTCCTAGAATCCTTACCCACAACTAAGCATGTAGGGAAGCTTAGGGTATTAAGATACTACTCTAAGGCTCCAAGAAACCATATTTGTTTATAAGGTGGTAGTTATGTAGGGAAGTATTTGAAAGAGTGCAAGATGCCCTATTCCAATTATGACTACCGTACCCCGACATTCGCCCGTAACAGTATCCCCTTACCCTTCCGAAGAAAGGTAGGGTACAATGTATCCCAAAACCTGTTCCAATCATTGCTCCACCTTCACCCCCTAAACCCTCTAAGCCCCAAAAGATAAGCTTTATCCCCACAAGGCTTCGGTCGGGAGGCCCCTTAGATGTAGCAGGATTGAGTGGAGCTTCATGTACTGGCCGCCCGTGCCGACGGGTACTTTGCCTCTTGGCAACCGGTTTAAGGGTGTAGGCAAACCCTTAACCATGAACCTTGAACCTTAAACTCTAAACCCAGAAACCCTCACCCTGAATCCGGAACCCCAAAACCCTAAACCCCTACACCCCCAAACCCCGAGCCCTAAACCCCAAACCCTGGTTTTTTTAATTACAAGCTAATTCGGGCTGTTAGGGTTGGATGTTTTTTGGGTCAGCAGGTCCGTTTGGGCTTAAGGGTTGAGGGTTTCAGGGTTCAGGCAAGTTCCGAACCACGCACACAGAACACAGAACTGCACCAAGAATAGACCCAAGATGCGAGTATCCTTGTTGTCAAGACATTTCGTAACAAAGGGACGGCTAATTCGCGGCATCGCCCTATGGCCTTATGTGATGGCTCAATGCTTGCAACCTACACATCAACCCTACTCATACACACTCCCTACGTGCGGCAAAGCTGCCACCAGCAGCCCGTAACTAGCATCGCCATCCTTTCCAGAGGCCCCGGTAGCTCCAAAGGCTAATGTCATGTAGACCACTGATTAAGAAAAACCCTGCCCTTAATTGGGATTAGGCAGGTATCCCCAGAATCGGGGCCCTTACAAGCCCAGGGGTCTACATGACGAATATTACAGAGCCATATAGTCCAACAACTGCGGCTCCAACGGGGTTGAGAAGCTCGACTTGCAGGCTCAACAACAGGGGCATACAGGCGCCAGCCCGCAAACTCAAGCTCGAGGTCCTACACAGCGGGTCATGGCTGTGTGTTTTTGATATACATAGACAGAAATGTCCACTGTTTCGTGGTGTAGGTGTCTTCGCCGGCTGCTACATTCATGCATGATCCCGTCGCACGTTGAGCAAGATGCCTCCACTTGATGACGCCCAGGTAGTCATAACATCTAAAGCACCAGCACAGGCCTGTGGTCGCCGCATCCCTCAGAAGAATAAAAATGTTAACATTCGACTAATTAACAAGCTTCATGCAGGAGCAGGAGGAGGCCAACGAACGGTTTATGGATTTGTGATTCCGGGCCTCTTCAACTGATGCTGCCCAGGAGCCTTTACAGCAGCACCACAACCTCGCTGACAGCCTCTTGGATTGCAAGTGGGTCTCACGCTTGCTTTAGGCTTCATAGCGCAGTTATGAGGATGCACTTGTTCTTGGGCATAGTCGGAGAGAGCACTATTCGGATCGAAGTTGTCCAAATGCAAAGTGCATCTTTCCACATGAAAGCCCTGAGTCAAAACACTAAATACTACACCCCAATCCTACACCCTAATGCTGTCGGGCTTCCAGTTTAGAGGTGTTGCATGCTCTACTCCGGCTATCCCAGAAGTCTTCCCAATGCCAGTAGTATCAAAGGCCCTAGCCCTAGATTGCTGAACCCTAAACTTTGCCCTCAACCCATGCCCAAAAGCCTCGAAAGGCACGCCCCAAGGCCAAAAAGCCAAGCCACAACTCCTCGGCATCCCTCACAACTGTGTAGGGTTGACAACTCCGATAATCGTGAAGTTCTAGCTATGTCGTTATGCAGGTTTATAACAGCTGATAGCTGCGCTTTCTAAAGCCCAAGACCCTAAACCCTGAACCTTTTGAAATCCACAACAGTGGATTCTGCCACCCTTAACTGCAAGGTGGAAAAAGGCGCTCAAAAAAATAAAACTTTCAAAAGGAGCCTTAGGTCTCGGCTGATTTTCTAGAGTGCTTCTAGACTTTGGGCGCGAAGCCATACCGGAAATCCTATGTGAGTTTCTGAAGATAGGGGACCCTAATATGGGAGTTTCCGAAAACAGGGGCAGGGTCCTTATAATAAGGATCCTACTATTCAGGGTACTATATTGGGGTCCTATATTGGGGTCCCCTATTTTCTGTAACTCCCATATAGTACCCAAACTGGTAGGATCCTTCTTATACGGACCGCAAAATAAGGTACACATTGTTTTCGGATACCCTCATATACCCTAGAAACCTTACAGCCCTAAACGCCTGAACGCTACAACCCCAGCGCGCACGAGGTGCGGGTGACATGGAGTCGGCCTATGACGACTATCTGTGGCGTTCAAGTTGGTTCAAGCATCTCGATACAAACTCAGGGCTACGACAAAGGTTCCTGGAGGGACGGGACGTGTTCTTTTTTTCAAAATAGGGGATCACCCGAAGGTTTTGAGATCTTGTAACCTTTCTGACCAGTTTAGGATTGCAGGGTCTGGTCTTCGAGTTCTGTAGTCTTGGGTTGCAAGTTGTGGGTTTAGTGTAGAAACCTGATTAAAATACCTTGTGCCTTTCAATAGGGTTCCTCAATATGAACCCTACTATTTTTGGGCTCTTCGCCCAGGGTTTCTTAAGCAGGTTCCTACACGAGTGTTTTTTGTTTGACTGTTCATGTGGTCCAGGTTCAGGAACTTTTGGGAGCTGCTTCAAAGATGTTTCGTGTTCCGTGTCGTGTTAACCTCATCCAAGCACTGGTTTCTCGTGTCGTTGTATAACCACAAACTTAAATAGTTCCAGGTCTCAACTGCTAGGCTCTGAGATTCGTCGCTTTAAAAGCCTTAAACACTACACCGCACCCATAAACCTAACTCTACGCATGGGTGCTGGGACTTTTGAATGCTACCGACATGTTGTGCGTGCTGGTTGGAAGGCGGCTTCAGATGGTGTTGTAGGTCCTGATAGTGTTCCTGACGCAGATGGCACGAGCACCCAAACAGGAGGGTTTCCGGCGCCCAAAACAAACATTTACAGCGTTTTATTGTGACCTACAACCTCAGTTCGAGTATTTGGTGTCTTACGGTGAGGCTTTTCGTGTTCACTGTCTCCATACATATCTAGTAAGTAGCTGTACATACCTGCTTTCGAGGCATTCGCCCAGAACCTTGAATTTTGATCCCAAGCCTGAAACCCCAAGCCGTGACCCCAAACCGCATCAAGTCACCCAACCGAAACCCAACCCCAAAGCCTGAACCAAGTCTCGAATGTAGGATTCTGATTAAGAAGCCCTGACCAGATAACGCCAACATATCAGGATTCAGACAAAGAGCCCTACTAAAAACCCAGGGTGTCTCTATCAGGTTGCTACCCCTAAGGGTCCATGTGTCCTAAAGTATATATGCTGGCCTTAAGGTACTCCCTATGTAGGTACATTGGGCCCAAAGTATATACTGTTTGATTACATATACCCGTAGGGTACATTAGTCCGGCCCTAAACCCAAAGAAGGTATCATGCATCAGACCGAGCCGCTGGACTTCACCGGAAGCCGCGAGTTCTTGGAGGCCGACGGCTTGGCAGCGCACGCGGCTTTGGGATTCTGGATTTCGGGCTTTTTGGTTCAATGATGTTCAGGGTTGCAGGTTTCGGTTTTCTGGTTGAGGATGATGTTGTGCCTTTTGGTGTTTAGCTAGATTACCTTGGGGGGACTCTTAGGGAGGTTGTTGCAATAACGAAACGGAAGAAAGGGAAAGCAGTTCTATCTCAAGAACGATGTTCGCAATAAGACCCTAAACCCTAAGCACTAACCCCCTTTTGAACCCTAAACCCCACAAGCCCTAAACCCTTTTTTGATTAGGGCTGATGCTCAACGCGTGAGGTGCGGATCACCGGCCTGACTCCTTTCACGCAGTACACGGCGGTCTGCACAGGACTCGAGCTTGGAGGGGTGTATGGCTTGAGGGTGGGGGGGGGGTCCCTAAATCGTATAATGTAGGAACCTGATTAAGACCCTCTGGGCCTATAGCACAGAATAGTAGATTCTGAATCCTGAGTTGTTCTAACCGGAGTTCGCTTGTGCTGCAACTTTTGCAGAAGACAGAGCAGAACCTGAGATCAAGGTGTCAGGGGGGGGGATAAAACACTTATACAAGTTAAAGGCACACCGGCACACCTCCCACGAGAAAAAGCATCGGAATGGGCAGGAAAGTTCAGTTCCGCCCATTCTTGAGCAATGAGTTCTGAACCAGTCGACTGAACTTGAAAGGGCAATACAAGGGCCTTAAAAAAGTACCAATATATATATATATATATATACACATATACACTTTTTTTTTGGGTGGGGGTCCTTATTGTAATCATGGTATAGTGGGCCCCAAGACCCTATTGTAATGATCAAGGCCCCCATATTACGCTGTCTATCCTTTGCAGCCTCAACACCTGTCGAGCACTTGGTTCAGCATCGGTGAAACATGATTTGCAGGGTTTCTGTACTCGAGGTATGGGATTTAAGAAAAGAACTCCATTTCAGAATCATAGATGCTTATTGTAAAGGACCTACAAAACGTAAGGGGTCACTCAAGTGAACAAGCTAGGTCAACTTTGAAAGATCAGCGAGCAGACGGAGACCACAGCCTTAGCTGAGGTGCCTTTAGGTAGTCGCATAGAACAAGCTCATCTGGCTTGGAACCGAAACTAAACCCCAAGACCCTAAACCAAGACATAGTTACTGAACGGAAACCTAGAGCTCTGAACCAAGAGATACTAAACCCGTAAACTTTCTAGCCGTAAACCCTGAACCCCTAAACTCCGTAAGCCCATACCCCCCTAAACCCATAGTATCCCTACCTAAACTCAATGCCTAGATCGCGAAACCCTGAAACCAGAAACTCCCCGACCCTAAAACCCATGATCTGAAAGGCTATCTCGCCCCAAACCCCTAAATTTCCTAAACCCCATAATCACCATACATAATCTTTCCGCGAAAAGGAGTCCTAGTGAAAATATCAAGGCCCCTATCAAGGCCCCTAAATAAACATAAACCCCAAACCCTAAGCCTATACCCTAAACCCTAAGCCGAATCCCGAAACCCTACCTTAATCTACCAAAGCCTACTTGTTGCGGGTTCTTATTATGAGCCCGAATATGGAATCTATAGGGACCCCACGAAAAAGTAGGTTTCGGTAGGTTAATAAAGGTATTAACAAGTCCCCGAAAGTCTGTCAGATGCTCCAGGAGTCGCTATCAGCGATGCAATCGTCACGGCCACGGCTCCACGGCTTTTTTCATGGCTTGCTTTTCTATATAAGGGCTCGGGCTCCTTTACGGGTTCCATTAAGGGCTCTATTCAGCCTAGAGTAGGTAACCTTGAGCCTTTTTTGGGTAGTATAGTCCCTATATAACCCTATATAACCAAAAAGGTTAACCTTTAGTTCCCCATGATACCCGACAAGTAGGTAAGGGTTCCATTAAACGTTTCAGGGTTCTGCAGGGCTTAGGGATCATGTTTTAGAGTTCAGGGCTGTTTAAGATTTCCTTCTAGAGTTCCATTAAGTGAGGGGCTCCTTTAAGGACTTTGTGAGGTTACTACATCTAGAGCTTCCAGGATTTCTGCATCAATGGCTTTGGGTTGGGGTTTCGGGTTTTGGGACGTAGGCTTGAGTGGATGAGATTCCAGGGCTGGACATCAGCATGACTTCGGTAGGAGAAGGAGATCCCACTACCCCTCAATTGATTATCTAACCATTGATATTGGGGGAGCTAAGGAGCCAGGGATCATGATAATTCCTTTTAGATATTGAGCTAAAGAGCCAAGGGAACCCCCCAAATCACTGGTTAGTTAAGGAATCTAGCTCAAGTCAGAATTTCAAGGTATATTCCTGAAGTCAGGGGTATGGGAGTTTCCAAAAACAGGGGACCCTAATATAGTTCCCTAAATAGTAGAACTCCTATTATAAGGACCCCAAAGTACGGTTCCCCCAATTTTCGGAAACTCCTGTATTGGGCTCTCATCAAACCTGTAGTCTATATCGTTTTCAGGTTGCAGAGTTCGAGGGTCCAGGTTCACGGATTTGACTTGAAACTACAGCAAGTATCAGGATTTGTAATCCTGTTCTCTTTTGGGTTTAGGGATTTAGGAGTTTAGGGTTTAGGGCTCCTTACCCAAAGATTTGCAGCACTTCTAGACTTAGAAAACCTGCAGCAAAGAAACAATCAACACAAAAACGAGCCCCAGCGCAATCCAGGCTCAAGAAAATCACGTCTCGAACTCTTTTCTGTGAGTTTATCGGTTATCTTTAGAGTGGAGGGATTAGTATACCAAATATAGGCTTCAAACCCCAATTAAATCCTAAACCCTAAACTTTAGGGTAGCCCTTTTGGGTACGGAGACTTTGGCCTTCCCATAAATCCGCGACTGCCGGACCGCATGTGCCCTAACCGTCGACCACTGACCCTATATAGGCTCAGTGGTCGAGGGTTAGCTACAGTCTCCATTGTAGTTCCTTTTTTTGGTTAGTCAACTTTATGGTTAGGCTCCTATAATATAGATTTGGGTTTACCAAAAACAGGAACTACACTGGAGACTATAGGTAAACCCATCGGGTTCTTTTCAGCTAGAAACCTTACACTCTGATTCTACTGTATAGGTACTTTGGACCCTTGGGAAACCCGCAAAAGACCAACACCCTAAACCCAAACTGACTCTAAACCTGAAGCGCGCCTTCAGCACCCCATAGTGTCCCAGAGCGAAGCATGGAATATTCGAGGTGTCGGAAGCCGCTTTCTCCACCGAAAAGGATACCAACGATCAGCTTTCCGACATCATCCTCAACGTCCAGGCATCTTTTAGCGTTTCGGGTTCAGGTCTTTTAGGGTGTACTTGGAGGTTAAGGGTTTCGGGTTCAGGTCCTTTAGGGTGTACTTGGAGGTTAAGGGTTTCGGGTTCAGGTTTTTTAGGGTGTACTGGTGGCTTTCGGGTTCCTTTCAAGGGATCTACAGGGTTTAGGGATTAGGGTTTAGGGTTGTTACAAGTAGGGTTACAAGTAGGGTAACTATACTTATAACCCACATTAGGGGACTTATAACCCCACTTATCACTACCCATGAACCTCCAAGTAGGGTGAAGGGTTGGTTGTGAGAATAGTTTTCTTGCGCAGGTTGGTGCTTTGTATTGCCTTGTTTCGCCCCTCTGCGTTTCTGGCGTCAACTTCACGGCGTTTGGCTGGCCTCCTTACAGCCATAAGCCCATAATTGAGGCTCAAAGGAGCCCTCGACGGGAGCCACTGCAGTCGGGCTTTCTGAGCATCTCCCTAACACGCTTGGGCTCAAGATGTGCGGTTGAAAGCTTCGAATCGCGGAGCTGGGGGTCGGATCGCCAGATGGCCAGGGCATCGCCCAAGCCTATTAAGGCAAGCCCAAAACCCCTCATATCGCTTCCTTGGGTATTCCCGCGAGGCGATGGCTGCCAACTTTATGGTTCTGCCCTAAACCTCGAGCCCAAACCGGACGCTTATGGCCTTAAAAATCTTGAAAGGCTGAAGCTGTAGGGGTGTGGAAGCTTGCTTGGGGTTGAGTTTAAATGTTAGGGGTTTAGGTCTTAGGATTTAGGGCACCGTAAACGCCAGGTGTGAATCGCTAGAGCTTATCGTATCAGAGACAAGGGCAAGAACTAGTCAATGGCCCCGCAATGGTGCTCAGGAGAAGAGCAGCAACAGCACCAATGCTGATGCCTGATGAGAATGTGCCCTGAACGAAGATATCATACAACTATTGTTAGTAGCAGTGACCATAGCATTTTACAATTGGAAGGGCTGTCCTTTGGGATGAGAGCTTGACAACGAGGCCTCCAGGAAAGAATGTCAATTTGGAACCGTTCTCTGTTACTCCAATCCCGACACCGACACCCTGAACAGAGCTGAGAATTACCCCTGAGGCCCGTAGCCCGCCTGAAAGACTTGTTAAAAAGCCCCCGGAGCTCTGCAAAAACCCGGATGAAGCGTCATAAGGGCTCAGGGGTCTAGGGCTTAGCCTCAACCCTGACCTCCCGAACCGTCTCTAATTCTATAACGCAGGCAGTCTGCACTCCTGAGATCGAGACGGACAATGGTACCACGTGCCTCGATAGAGCTTATAGCCCCAAGGGTCCATGTAACCAAAAAGTATATACTTTGGGCCCATTGTACCTACATAGGGAGTACTTCAAGGCCAGAGTATATACGGGTACATGGACCCTTAGGGTAGGGCTTCAAGTTTGTTGTAGGGCTTTGGGCTTGCGTTTGAGGGATGTAAGATTGGAGGGTTTGGCGGATTGCGATGACGAAGGTCAGGGGTTTGGGGTGTCTCGTGGGGCTCGCGTGGAAAGTGAGCTGCTAAAGCCTACTTTGCTGCAGGTAGTTTGACTTTTACAAAATAATGACAGACATAGTGTCATATAACATAATAAATGTGTAACACACAAGAATACAATACATTCTTGTATCAAGGTAAGATCAAATAATATCCATTATAATATATTATAACCTAAATTGATAAGACCAGATACTGTCTTAGTACACTTGTAATATTTGTTATAACATCATGTAATATAGTATGGTATAATATAACCCTAAGATAAAAATCATTTTTTGCGCAATATAGCATAAGAACATGATCTATGATATAATATAATCTAGAATAATGTAACATAATGTGGCATTACAACAGACTAAAGCCCAGAAGAGTTGAGCCGACAATTGCCGGTACGCCCAGGATTTCGGAGTTCAATGAGACGGAGGCCCGGCCTTCTTCTTGGGCTCTAAAGCTCGTGTGTTGCGCTTTTGTTAACAACTGTTTTTTGTTTTTTAAAAACAATTCGGTTGCGGGATCATTCAGGGTTTATTTAGGGTTTAGGGTTTTTGCTATTGAAGTTAGGCCTTCATCCTGCCAAAATCACCTTCGTGATCTGTGGCTGCATTTTGATTGTGGCCGTTGATTGGGAACCCAACTTGACAAGAACTTTTTCAGTCATGACGAAGGTAAATGAGAACAAGCGAAATAATGATCTTGAATTTGCAGGGACAGCGTGACTACGATAGTGATGACAGTCGATGCTGCTGACAAGACAACAGCAACCATGGGCAGGTGCAACGAGAATGTAGACTTTGGAGGGCCTGTGTCCATGTCAGGGATACGTAACACCCCCAACCCTGGCCTAGTAATTTGTTCACGTTTCTTATTGGGATGCCCAAAATCCAAGACCTGAAATAATTTAGAGATTTTCATCAAGGATGCCTAGAGCCCGAAAAGGAATCCTTACAAAGGAGCCTATCTTACTGGGAACCCTGAATGGAACCCTTCAGTATTTTCTTTACGGGATCCCTTAAGGGTTCCCTTGAGGGAACCCTGAAAGGGACCCTGTCTTGCAGGCCGTTGCCACGCTTGCACCCTTGGAGGTCGCCCTCTACCCACCGCCGGCTGTCTCAGATGCGTTCGCAGATTAGGGAAGTTATGAGTTGGGTTATAAGTCCCCTAATATGGGTAAAAACGACTATAGATACCCTGCTTATAACTACCCACGAACCTCAAAGTGGGGGCTTTGCTTTCGGGTGCGAATTCGTAAGCGTGCTATACTTTCCAAGGACCAGCCTGGATTGTGCCAGGCGGTGTCGTCTTTCGTCAGATCCGCTTTCCCCGGGGTGACTCCCTTCACTTGTACCTCGATACGGACAGGCCCAAACCCTGCCACAGAGATGCCAGGAGCTCTTACGCACCTGCCTTGATCGTTGGGCTTCGTGGTTTCTCCAGAAGGCAGCTGTGGATTGAGTGCCCCGATGGAGTGGTCGAAGGCTGGCGTCCTGGGCAAGATGAAGTCAGATGCGAGGTTTTCCCTGAAGTTCACTTCCAAAATCCTCGTCCACGGGACAGAACAGGGGCAGGGCCTGGATCGCCGCATACTCACGGCGTGGACGCCACAACTAGAAACACAGAACGAAGGCCCGACAGATATAGATGTTCTTGGGAGATGCCGTGTGGCTGCTCTGCAGTCAACATATCCAATGCCAAGCAGCAAGAAGACATATACCCGCCCCAACATCACCACGCTCGTTGCTTCGAGTTCCCAACTCCTGGGCCCCGAGATATTCGTGTGATGTAGGCTGAATGAGCGATCCTCAGGAAACAGATTGAAGCACAATTCAAAAGCGTGGCGGAGGTGCCAACGCGACGTCAGACACCCCAACGCCTTTACCGAAAGCTTAAGCCCCATTCCCTAAAGCACAAGCTCTAAATCCCTTGTCAACCCGAACCTGTAAGCCCTAGTAGTAGAGTAAGCAACCTTTAACCTTTTTTGGGTAGTATAGTTCGTATATAATCCCTATAGAACCAAAAAGGTTAGCCTCTAGTTCCCCATGATACCCGACAAGTAGGAAGCCCTACAGCCATGAACTCTCAGCAAGACCTCAGCCGTCGGGCCCCAGCTGAACTCCGAAGCCAGCAAATCCTGAACCGGAAGCACTGGGCCCTCCACGCCTTGACCACAACACCCCCTAAAGCCCTAATCCCTAAACCCTAAATGCCTTCAACCCCAACCCCAAAGCCCAAAACCCTTTAAACCCTATATAACGCCCGAGGCAAACCAGCATCTGCCCTGCGCCGCTGAGGTTCGATCCTTCGGTGCGCCATTACCAGCTTACCGTCAATGCTGCCGCTGCCTCAGCACTTGTGTTGAAAGGTATACTTGGAGGTTCGTGGGTAGTTATATGTGGAGTTATAAGTCCCCCAATATGGGTTATAACTATAGTTAACCTAATTATAACCCTACTTATAATAACTACCCATGAACCTCCAAGTAGCGAACCCCAAAAAGCTGGAACATGGACTTAGGATGACTCGTGCCGGGGTTCCCTATACTCTAGCTTAAGGGCATGAGGCTAATCATGTTCCCAAATTCTGCTATCTATTGCAAGCTTTCTAAAGATGCTGCTTAAGGTGTGCTTGTGTTTTTTAATGGGGTGTTGTAATGGTGTAGGAAGGAGTTTAATGTCGCTCAAAGGCCGTTTGGGGGCTTTGGGCTTCACAACCAATCTCGTGGTATGAGGGAGACCCCTTAAAGGGTACCCTTCTTAACCCTACTTCTGGCTCTCTTGAACGGGAGCTTATTGAGCGTGTCTGTATGACCAAAGGTCCCCCAACTCCTAAGCAAAGACATTATAGCAGGGAACCCCCAAAAAGAAGGGTTTATGGGGTTCTGGTGGGGCTTTGAGGGTTTGTGGTCGCCAAGGCTTTAGGGTTTACGCTTCAGGGCTTAGGTGCTAATTATACAAAAATGAAACTTGTACAATGGTTGAATCAAACTCCGCGCAACAAGCGTGAACTTCTAAGCGGGACATTCCTCTTGGGTTTAGGATTGCTCAGGTCTTTTTGTGATGCGAACACCAGCCCCTAGGCTTTTGTTGTTCAACATGTTATTCGAAAGTCTTGGTCCCTGAAATCATTTGAAAATTCAACCCGGAGCCTTAAATCCCAAACTAATCGCACCCCTAAAGGCCTGGCCGACAGCCTGAACCTCTCGGATTGGTGTGTGAGCAGGGCCTAACCTGAGCCTTAGCAAGTTTCCTAGGACCCAGAGTAGGCCCTTATTCCCTTTTTTTAGGGTTCAGGTTCCCTTATAAACCCCTTTAAACCAAAAAGGGCACCCTTTTTATTCCTAGGTTACTCTTAGGTCTAGTTTCTATAACCCAGAGAGCCCGATAGCCCTTAGCTTAAATCATAATATGGAGCCCTTAATGATTGAAGTTAAAGGTCTTAATTAAGGGGGTATTGGGGTCTCTGGGAAGGGGATAGTACGATGATTCAAACGCCTGTATTTGGTTTCAATGGCAAGGGTTCCAGATCTGAGGCTCTTGAGCGAAGGGGTTTGGAGCAAGTCTGCAAAATATCGCTTTGGACTTTAGGGTTTAAGGTTTAGGGTTCTGCCCTCAATCGCTTTGGACTTTAGGGTTTAGGTTGGGTACTGCCCCCTCTCAGTATCAGTTCGATAATATTCATAATATAGATATTTTTTGGCCCTTCCTGTACCACCAAACCCCCTTCTTCTAGGTTATGACCCCTTAATTAGAGGATCTAAGCCTTAAAACGGTAGGTTTTTGGATCCACAGGTTAACAGTAGCCCTATTATAGACTGTTACTGTATGGAGCAGTACCCAAGGTTTAGGGCTGAATTTAAGGCTCAGTGTGGAGGCTTCTACCGGTTTTGCGTCGGCAGGAGCGCTTGGAACTGGAACCTAGATATCTTTGTCATAGTTGGGTAACATTTTGCATGTTTATGGGTACTTATACCCAATAAGGAATAAACATGTCCATGTTTAACCCTATCCCAGCCATGAACTAGATATTCGGATCCTTACCAAGAGGACCCCTACATAAGGTACGCTATCTTCACGGCTTTGGGAGGCTTTGACGTGAGACCTGCCTGGAGGTTCATGGGTAGTTATAAGTAGGGCATAACTATACTTATAGCCCATATTTGGGACTTATAACTAGCCAGGAACCTGCAAGTGGATTTCGGAGGGCCGGAGGCCTCGCTGAGGAATGCGAAAATTTTTTCAACCTGTAATTAGATGCATGCTGATTCGAATATCTTTTGAATGTTCAGGCTGCGACGATGACAGCTGTCACTTCCGGCGATGCGCCGAAGAACATGGAGACCGATCAGATCTTGCAGCACGGCTGAGACACCCATGTGTGCAATTCACCGCCATGCGGATCCCTGGTGTCTCCGGGAATGTCATCCGCAGGCTGCGCGCAAGACACTTATTGTGAAGAGACACAACACTTCAGCAGCGGAGCGGTTGATTCGCTTGATGTCGAGACACCGACATGTGCTTCGCTGCATCCGGTATGGGCTGCCCTATAACCCCAAAACAGTAGGATTCATAGCAGGAACCCTAGTAAAGGCCCCAAGGTTGCTTAATCAGGTTCCTACATTAGCAGACTCGCATAATGCGGTCGCTATAGTGCGGTTCGGCGGGCCGAAAACATGTATCAAGCCTTGATCGGGCCTCGAGAGAAGCCCTCAAGCTGAAGAAATAACCTCTACCCAGACCCTCCAACCACTCCCTACTATACCCCAAAGACTGACCCGGTTTGCAGGACCGTAAGGGCTCCAATAAAGGCACTTAAGGACCACTCTGAATCCTGAGCCCCAAGCCCAGGAAGATGTGCTGACCCTTTGTGGCGAGAGCGAGGTCGAGGCTGTGTTCAGGCTGGGCAAGCTTTTGTTGGGAAGGTCTGGTTTCGGGCTTCCTGGTGAGAGTTTCGGGTTCGGGGTGTAGGGTTCAGGGCTTATAGGGTTGCGGGTTTGGGGTGTAGTGTTTAGGACTTTATGTTTAGGGCCTAGGTTGTGGAGTTCTATGGAGGCTTCCTAGGCCCCCACATTAAGCAGAGTCGAACTTCATGCGCTGCGAGGATCCAGGTAGCTGCCATGGCGCAGAGTGCCTTTGCCAGCGTCGCCGTGGAGCCTTCAGCGCTCTGCCTAGCACTGGCAGCTTTATAGCGGTTTAGGGTTTAGGGCTGAGGGTTTAGGGTTTTAGGGTTTGGGGTTTTATGGTTTTAGGGTTTAGGGTTTTAGGGTTTAGGGTTTTGGGTTTAGGGTATTATGGGGCATGGGTTTTATAGGATATCGTCATGAGTGAGGGTTGCTATCCGGGTGATACTGCTATGTATGTTTTTTGTAGCGGCTCCTTCGTCGCGTTATCCAAAACAGTCATGCTCGCATTGCTCACCGACGTACCATTAAAAGCTGTAGAGTAGAGATTGAGTGTCAGCTTCAGAAGGTCTGGCAGGGTGCGTGTTCCCGAAGCCCTCGGCAAATTTGGGTTGATGCGGGCATTTGGGAGTTTCCGAGAATTTGGGGTACCTTATTTGGGGTACCTTATTTGGGGGTCCTTATAATAGGGATCCTACTATTCAGGGTACTATACTAGGGTCCCCTATTTTCCGAAACTCCCATTTGGGTTCTGGGCTTTAGGGGCTTAGAGGCTTCGGCCCCTTTCCTGACCACCGTCGTCCTGTTTGACGCTTCAGCATGAGCCTGTCGGGTTTGCCATAAGTAGCATAGCTGAAGGTAGAAATCTTGAGATCCACAATGAAGATATCCATGCAAAGTCCAAGCGGCTTCAGTGTAGAGGGTGGTCAGACGCTGGAGGGTTGAGAGTCAGAGTTTTGGGGCGCAGACGGAATATCCCTAAACCCTGAACCCTAAACTGCCCTAAACCCAGCCAAAAAAAACTGCCCTAACCCTAAACCCTAGACCCCCCTGTCTCCCCCTCAAAAAAAAGAATCTGCTCTAAACCCGAACCTGGAGGTCGATCTTCCGGCTGCTGCTTTTTGTATCATCACCCCGGTTCTCTGTCCCAAAGGCTCCATGGACCCTTTATGGTAGATACCTCGGCCTTTAAGGGGTCCCTATATAGGTACTTTAAGGCCTAAGTATATACTATATGCGTGCATGGAGCCTTAGGGTGTAAGGAATGGGGGAATGGGCTACACGGACTACGACAATAAGGGACTATCCTAGGCATCCGTTTTTCCCATTCCCCTTAAGACCAAATGAGAACCAGAGAGTCATGTCATGGGTTTGTCTTGGTGGCTCGTAGCCGCTCATTCAGGTCTCGTCTTGGCTCCCTTCTCTGGTTGCTAGATATACTGCTCTAATAGGGGCCTAGGACCCATAGTAGGCCCTTATTCCCTTTTTGAGGGTTTAGGTTCCATTATAGCACCCTTTAAACCAAAAAGGGCACCCTGTTTACTCCTAGGTTACTCTTAGGTCTAGGGGCACAGGCACTAAAGGCTTTAGGGACAACGGACGCTTGGGGTGAATTCTAAAATGCTCGAAGGCTCTGAAAGGCCAGGTGCAGATCGGGAGCCACACAACCTTGACCCTGAAAACACCGAATCCGGTCCTTGACGAACAAAAGCTCTAACCCCCGCCCTACCCCGGATAGCACCACTTCACAAACAAAGAACCAGAACAAGCTGTATAATCCCGATCATCTGGGTTCTCCCTGCTGTCAAAGCTGAACCGCTAAACATTCTAAGCCGCGGACCTACTTGAAGGCTCATGGGACCTAGTAAGTAAGGTTATGTGTAGGTTTATAATTAGGATAGCCCCACTTAGGGGACTTATAAGCCCAAGTATAACCTACTTACTAAGTCCCATGATCCTCTAAGTAGACGCTCTAAAAAGCCCAGGTGCAGATCATGGCTCAGGTTCTCCCGGATGAGACGGGGTTCTTGCCTCCGGACGTCCCACGAAGCGCCGTAAGTCAGGCCATGGGTTTTGTAGGGATTTAGGATTTTGGGATGTGGGGTTTAAAAGTTTCGATTTTTTGGGGTTTTAGGGTTCATAAGCTTTGTGATTAGGGATTTTGGGGGCATAGGGTTTCAAAGTCGTTGTTCCCTTTGGGCTTACCCCTAAACCCTAAACCCTTCGCATCTCAGCAGTTTGAACTTGCGATGTCTACATTGGGGTGTGCGCTTTAGGGGTGTAGGGCTTAGGAACTCCGGGACTGGGGGTTCACTTACAGTACAGTAAACCCCATAAAGTTGGAACCTGATTGAGGCCAAATAGTGCTGGGATTCCCTATACGTTACTGTTAAGGATTGAGGCTATGGGGTTTCCAACTTTTTGGCTTCTTCTTTTTGGCTTCGGGGGTTTAGGGTTCAGGGCTTGTAATGTAATGCACCCCGGAATCCTGTATTCCGGCCCCTATATCATAGAACCTTCAAAAGCCCTTTTACCACCCCTCAACACAGAGGCATATTATAGAATCTACAACCCTTAAATACAAAGCCTTTATAAAGCTTTCAGAAGCCCTTATAGAACCTACAAAAGACCCTACAAAAGCCTTTATGAAACTTTGCAAAAGCCCCTCGTTATAGCGCTTACCACAGCCCGTATACAATTCCTCATTACAGCCTAGTCTATCCCTAAACCCTAAACCCTAAACCCCTAAACCCTAAACCCTAAACCCTAAACCCCTAAACCCTAAACCCCTAAACCCTATAATTTCAACTAAAGAGCAGACAGAGGGGCGGGATACAGCCGATACGGTTTAGGGTTTAGGGTTTAGGGTATCCTGGGCGACCCGAAGCTCGCGAAACGCATCTTGAACGCCCGGGCAGCCTACAAGGACAAAAGCTAAAGGAGTCGGACCGCTACGTCCGAAGTGCCGCGTGGTGCTGATAGGCTGCCAGGACCCGCTCATGGCTATCGCAGCGGCTGGAGCCAATGGCGAGGTCGGCTTCGCTACGAAGCGGTGGAGGCTGTGGGTCTCCGCTAAGAGCGCCTTTCTTCAGGGAGAGCAAGACATGTCGGAGCGCAGCGGGCAGCTCTTTATGCGACCCCCTCGGGATCCTCTGACAGCGCAGTTTCCCTGCGGAGCTCTACCTGGTCACAGGAAACTGCTACGGACTTTCGAACGCACCACGCGTCTGGCACAAGCGCGTTCACCAAATTTTGGTAAACAAGGGCTTTATCCGGCATGCCTTTGATAGATGCCTCTACTACTACCTGTGCTGCGGGCTTCTTTCGAAACTTTGGGGTGACACGGTTGATGATAGCAATCTTGTATTACCTTACTGACCCTAAACTAGGGGAATTATGGTATATTCCTTATTATGGGTAGTGCAGGATTTGTTTCATCAACCGTAACCAGAATATAGGGTTGTGGCGGTTTCTTATGATGGCTATAGTAGATTGTCCTTCCAAACCCTATTCTAATTATTAAGGCCGCTACATTACTTGAAATCCCCGAAACCGACTTTTCTGTCGGGTCCCTATAAATTCAGTATCAGGGCTTTTCGTATGTAAAAGCCTGAAATTATGTGGCAGTTCAAGGTTGACGACTTGGGGTGTGGCCTAAGGCTTTCAAACATCTTGGAGTGACTGGTAGGGGCTCTTCGGTTGCGATTTGGGGTGTGGAGTTTTACGGGCGGATGTAACATGCGGAGTCTGGCGTGTGCAGTGTAGTGTATATGGGAGTTTCCGAAAATAGGGAACCTTAGTATGGTACCCTACAGTAGGATCCTTACTATAAGGACCCCCCAAAAAGGTACCCCTAGCTGGACCGCTGGGTTAAATACGCCGCAAAACAAAACACACACACACACACACACACACACACAGAGACAATAATCGTGACTGCATCCTTAACTTGACTTACCTATAGTCTCCATTGTAGCTCCTTTTTGTGGATCAATCAATTATATATTGAGGATCCTATAAGGTTACCCCCAAAGGAACTACAATGGAGATTGTAGGTATCACTGATCAAGCCCGAAGCCTGAAATTGGGACGCCCTTCGGAATGAGATTTGCGAGTCTGAAAAGCTTGAAACTGTCGGCAGGTGATTCTCACGGTGTCTCCTCCCCAGCTTGGCCCTTTGCCTGAATCTGGCTCTTCTGGTTATCCCAGGGCATTGGCGCAGAGTGTAGGATGTCAGGCCCAGGGTCCACAGGGATACCGCAGGAATGGGATGAGGATGCAGAGATTCTGAATCACGGTCCGAGCGTGTAAGCTTTGCAGCAATAGTCTTCAGTGTATGTGTCGTACTTGCTTGGGTGTCCCTCAACACCATCCGACAAAGGGCATGCAGTGTCGAACCCTGCACCCTAAACCCTAAGGAGTGGAAGCACCCTATGCCCTAAACCTCAAACCTAAACCTCATGAACCTGACCAAAACCCTCCAAACTCGAACCTCAATACGCCATTGCAATTGAAACAGCGCAGCCGAAGCCCTGCGCCTACCCTCCCGGAGCCGAGCCGAAATCTCCAAATCTGGACGACCGGAATTTTAGGGTCGGGCCTGAAACCGTGACGCCTAAAGTCTACATAAATCCTTTAACCCTAAAGCCTAAAACCCTAAAGGAGCGACAAAAAAAGCCTAAACCGTAACCCTAAACCCCTGAACCCTAGAACCCTAAACCCTAGAACCCTAAAGCCCAAACCCTATAAACCCTAACCCTAAACTCGAAGTCCACCTGCTGGAGCTCCGTGCAGTCATTCGCATCCAAGGACAGACCCCACCGGAGCGCTACTTCCTGGATGTCGTCGTAGGCCTGGGTTTGCAAAAAAGGTTCGATATAGGCACGATTTTGGGGTTCCTCATTTTTTTACTATCGCAGAATTACAGTACTTTTAATAGTTTCATTATAGTGTTAGTATAGTATAATATGCCACAAAACTAAGTGGAATTATAGTATTCTGTTTAGTTTCATTATAGTCTTCTGATTATAGTATAATATACCACACAGGTCCTCTCTGTTGGGCTGTTGGGTCCTAGACTTCGGCCTCTGGTCTTCAGGGCTATGGGGACTCGTCCCAGAGCCTCCAAAACCCCTTAATTAAGCAATATACCGTAAAATCATATTAGGGATCCTATTATAATTTAAGGTATATTCCTTAATTAAGGGGTTTTGGAGGCTCTGGGTTGTTGCCCTAAGGGTCTAAGGACTCATATATTAAGGCTTTTTGGGCCCAAAGACCATACTATATAAGGCTTTTGGGCCGTTTTGAGCTTTAGGGTTGGGGTTTAGGGTTTTAGGGATTTAGAGTTTAGGGTTTAGGGGTTTAGGGTTTAGGGGTTTAGGGTTTAAGGGTTTAGAGTTTAGGTGTTTAGGGTTTAGGGTTTAGGGGTTTAGGGTTTAGGGTTTAGGGGTTTAGGGGTTTAAGGGGTTTAGGGTTTAGGGGGTTTAGGGCTTAGGGGAAACTTGCGTGGGGTTTGCCAAAACTGCCGTCTTGAGGGCTCCTGATACGAAGGATCCGAATCCCTAAGCCCTCAACTCTAAACCCTAAACCGGCAGTATCCGAATCCCTACGCCCTCATCCCTAAACCCTAAACCGGCAGTATCCCAATCCCTATAAGCCCTCAGCCCTAAACCCTAAAGCGGCAGAGGTGTTCTGGATGTTCGCCTGGAGAGCACTACGCTTCCGGAGATTGCCGCTGCCGACGGATCCTCCTCGGCCGACTTCGCCACTTAGTCTTAGGGAAACTTAGAAATGGGTTTTAATTTTTGGTTATTATAATCCCTACGAAACAGCTATTTTTTTTGCTAGGGTTCTAGATTCAGTACAGTAGTGGCTGACTGAATAGGGTTTAGGGTTTAGGGTTTATATACCCGACCAAGATTTCAAAACCCTAAACCCTACTATACCCTACCATAATTTCATGAACCCTAAGCCCTAAACCCTCCTATACCCTACCCTAATTTAAAAAAAGTTAAGCTGTTTGGGATAGGGTACTCAGCCCCTAAGGTCATCTCCGTGCCCAGCGACGTGGAGGCGGGCAGTAGGTCGACAAATTCTTGCTTCTGTAAGGGATCCTTTCAGGGCGCTCCTTTTGGGGGATCTAAGGGCTCATTTAAGGGATCTAAGGGGCTCCTTTAAGGGCTCCTTTAAGGGTTCCTTTCAGGGTTCTTTTGGGGGATCTAAGGGCTCATTTAAGGGATCTTAAGGGCTCCTTTAAGGGTTCCTTTCAGGGTTCTTTTGGGGGATCTAAGGGCTCCTTGAAGGGATTCTTTCAGGGCTCCTTTAAGGGATCTAAGGGCTCCTTTAAATGAAATCCTTTCAGGGTTCCTTTACGGGATCTAAGGGCTCTTTTGAAGGGTTCCTTTCAGGGTTCCTTTAAGGGATCGGTTAAGGGTTCCTATGTCGGACCCTATAGGTAAAGCAGCCTCAAGGCTCATTCTAGCGATGTTGCCATTCGTACTCTCCATCTTCTTGCCGCTATCCGTCATCATTCTGAGCTAACCCTGTGCTTCCATGGACCTTATTCTTGGGTCCTGAGGGGGTCTGGGGCCCTTACTATAAGTTCCTTGGAAGCACAAGGAAACATTATACCCAACAATCAACTCTGATCTCTGCGGCTTCATACCCTATGAAATGCACACCCACAACCCTAAAACTGAACTGGTACTGTTATGAGGTTAAGCACAACAACTTGAGCTCCCCGTAGGCCGTCGCTGAGGCGAAAAAGGCGTCTCTTGTTGTTTAGGACACTCCGTATCCTCAAATAACCTTGCTGTTTGAGGACCAAATATAATTCCGTTTTGAGGACCTATACTAGTAAGGAAGTCATAGAAAGGAACCCGACAAGGTTTTTTGAGGACTCATATAACGGAATCATGGCAGGGAACCCTGACAAGAAAGTTTGTATTCGGTCGAGGTTGGGTTTAGGTATGTGTGGAGTTGGGGATACCCAAAACTCAGTGGTTGGGGGTACCCAAAACTCAGTGGCAGTCTGCTGAAATCGCATTCAGGAGAAGCAGTATGTAATTGAACGTGCCCAAGACGCCACTGTTGCAGGATACATCGCTGGGGCTTCGAATCGGGCCGTACTCGCAGGTTCTCGTCTTGACTGGCGCCATGGCTTGTCTATGCTGCCCCATAGATACCTTAAGCCCCTACATGGAGGTTCATAGGTAGTTATATGTGGGGTTAAAAGCCCCCTGAGATGGACTATAAACATAGTTACGTACCCGACTTATAACCCTCCATCTAACTACCCTCGAACCTCCAAGCAAGCTGAGCCTCCAAGCCTAGTCCCTCAGCAGCCCTGAACTCAATCCCGAAATCCCAAGCCACAAAAATCCCACAAGACCCGAAAACACCCTAAACCCTGAACTTAGGGTATCAAGGGCCTTTTATTTGTAACTCCAAAGGCTTTAGTTACGTTTGCACACGAACAAGAGGGTTTTCAGACCCGACGCCGCCGCCGCAGGTGTTATCGACAAAGCTAGATCCAGGTTTCCTCTCTGCGTGTTTATGCCGACCCCTAAACCCTAAACCTTTCAACCCTTAATCCCTAAACACCTTCATGCCCAACGCGTCCCTCCCCCATCGTCACTCTTCCCTGCTTTCCTCCTGAAACCCGAACCTTAGAGCCTAAACCCACAGCCCTTCTGCCCAACCCCCGAAACGTGGAACCCTAAGCCCAGAACCTCGGACCTTCAGTACTTAATGACTATGGGGGCCGAAACAATTGTCAATACTATTGTGGGGTTCCTTAAATAATATGGTTACAGTATATAATGTACCCCAAACCCCATCCTAACTTTTATTCCCCTTATATAGCAACCCCCCCGAATGCCAACCTCAGGCTCCGAGAATTACACGGAGAACCTGCTGCTGAGGAGCTTTGGTTTCCTTGGGGGCCTATGTCCTATGTCACTGTTAGTTACTGTTCATGAAGGTTTAGGGTTTAGGGAGTGTATTTTTCAACCCTATGCCGGCGCTATACTATAGTAACTACCCCATAAATAGCACGGTACCTGGGCCGGCCTCTTATGCCAGTCCCCCAGCCTACTTGGAGGTTCTTGGGTAGTTATAGGTGGGATTATAAGTCCCCTAGTATGGGTTATAGGTACATTTACCCTACTGTTAACCCTCCTTCTAACTACCCATGAACCTCCAAGTAAGTGGACTCTGCCATCCGAGCCTACCAAACAAACCCTGGACCCTGCGAGCCCACTCGTGGACCCGTCCTTCTAGCTACCCATGAACCTCCAATCAAAGGGGAAAAGGATGCACTCTTAATAGGGACCCCTACCTTATAAAGGGCTGTATGATGGGCATATAATAGCTTTTTTCAGGATATATACCTAGGGGTCCTTATTAAGGGTCCCTCTTGTTACCCTTGGACATGAACCTCCAAGTAGAAGCCCAGCCTCGTTATCCTGAGCCGGCCGTCAAGCAGTGCGAACACTCCGCCCTCACAGGGTCCATGTTGGGGGAACTCTACATCATTCTACATTTGCTACGGCAGCTTGGAGTTTGGGACCCAAAGGGGGTTCAAACCTTACTTTCATTGTCTTCGTTCGGGTGTTCGAGCACAGTGCGTGCATCGATGAGACTGTTTGTGATATGTGTAAGACTGCTTGCCACGTGGGTTCTCTTTTTCATGAAAGGATCCAAATTCAATTGTTTTGGTGCAGCAGGATGATCTGCCATGTACGAAGAAGTTCAAGGGAGCGCTCACGCAGCTGTTCAACGCGCAGCACCGGCACCGAAAGCGGTGCCAGCACCGAAAGCGCGTTGCCAGCCACCCCAGTAGCTTTTGCTGCCACCGCCAGACACGGGCGCCACAGGCAAGTACCGCGCCGCAGGGTTCCGCCCCACCTGAGAAGCCTGCAAGCACAGCGGCAGTTGGGGACTTGCAGGGCAGGCCAGGCTTTGCGCTTGTCCAGGCGTTCACGAGCCCGCCATGCAACTAGGACCTAGAGTAAGCCCTTATTCCCTTTTTGTAGGGTTCAGGTTCCCTTATAAGCCCCTTTAAACCAAAAAGGGCACCCTTTTTATTCCTAGGTTACTCTTAGGTTTAGGCAAGTTGTGTATCCTGTATCCTCAGCTCCAGCTCCAGCTCTCTCCAAAGGGACCTTGATTTTGAGAGTTATCCATTCTGAGATCGGAATGATCATTGAGAGTGTGCCCTTGCATCCCCTGTAGCCTTATATCCTCATATACCCCTCCAAACCTAGTCTCATTCTCAAGGTCCCTGAAACACTAGAAGACGTATCAAATTTAGCTTTCTGGGTTTGGGGGTTTAAGGTTTACACGCGGTCAGGTGTCAGGGTTTGAGGTAATATCCTGCTGTTGCAGCAAATGCCCAAGTCCGGAACGAAGCTTTATGATCCACCAAACCGCTGCGAGAGAACACGAAAACCCTAAACCTGATAATATGCAGGTGGAGCTGCTGCAGCACTGCAGCCAGGTACCATTAGAAACAAACTCTACTTAAGTGCGCAAGGGGCTTAGTAGGTAGGATTCCATGTTTGGTGTCCTAACTGCCTTTCAGTAGGCTTATCCTAATCCCAACCTTACTTTCAACCTTATCTTACTACGTCCCGTGAACCTCCAAGTAATCGGAGGACGCGATACTTTTTCACGATCGCCAACATCGTGGGCTTGGGAAGTGAGTGTTGGCCTCGATGTTGTAGTGGTCCTTTTCCCGACGAAAAGGATGAAGTATGGGGTTCCTTTAAAGGGTTCTACAAGGGTACCTTTAAAGGGGTTCCTTTAAGCGATCTATAGGGTTCTAGTTTAAGGCTTAGGGTTTAGGTTGATGATATAAATCCCTTAATAAATTACGGACCCTAAGCTATGGGAAGTATGGTATAGTCCCTCTTATGGGTAATGCAGGGCTTATATTATATCATCAACCGTATGGCTTGATGAGGAGTCTAGTGTTTTGGGGGGTTATGGTTTCGGAAGTGGTCTTTCCCGAGCATGTAAAATGAAGCATGGTTTGACAGGGGCTTGATAGGCTGGCTGTAAACAGATTCAGTGGAGTGTGGAGCTCCGGATTTGGTGTTGGAGATTTGGGTTCTGGGGTCGTATTCGTACTCCTAGGGTTGTTTTGCTGCAGTTGCCATCGTCCTCGTGGCCACCATAGCTTGATGATGATGATGATGATGATGATGATGATGATGAAGCTTACTGCTGCGGCTTTGGCTTTTCTGTCGTTGCTGTCCTCAGCAGCTATACTTGCCATGGATGTTAGGCTGACACAAACATGGACAAAACATACAACAACCCTATGATCGAGGTAAATGTCAGCAGCTGTGCTCGTTGTTGTTGCCGTCCTGCTGTCGTCGTCCCGCACAGAAATGGGCTCAGAAAGTGCTGATTCGCGCCAGCCGTTCATCCGACTTTACACAAGGTCAATGCGCCTATTTAGTACATGCTCAGGCCTCTTAAGCGGTTCCCATGTAGGTTGGACCCTGAGGATGATACAGGGCTTCAATTTTTCCCGGTAAACCCTGTGAACCCTAAGCCCTAAACCCTGACAGTCTACAAACCCTAAAACCCTGAATCCCGCAGCCCAGGACCTGTGCTTGGGTGCCTCGCAGGGCTTTCTAGGGAGATTCTAGGGCACAGGCCATTGGAGTGCATCCCTCCGTGTACAGTAAGCAAGATCGGCCTCCCCCTATTCTAGAGTTGGATTTTTTTTGCTATTTTCCAGTGAATCCGAAGCCCGACACTGCGGCCCCTGAACCCTAAACCCTATATGCCTATATGAGTCATGCCATTCTTTGCGGTTTCTGATGCTAGAAAGTGACCCGGCTCATTAGTCGAAACAGTCCAATCTGTAAGGCCCCTAAAGTAGACCGGAAGCCCTGAAACTTAGCCACTAAAGACCCCATAATCCCCAAACCGACCCCTAAAGCAGAAATCGTAACAACTATCTGGGTGGTTGTCAAACTTAGGGTCCCTTTTTGGGTCCCTATTATGATACGGCGCCTAATATTTAAGGTACCCAAAAAGGGACCCTAATTTTGACAACCACCCATCTGAAACCAAGTGAGCCCATGCCAAGGCTGCCGGTGCTGGTGCAGATCCGGCCACCGCCCGACAGCATCTACCCGACTTTGGATGTCCGCACGATCTATATTGACGCCAAGCTGCGCTTGACGGGCCGGTCTTGTCAGCACTCCAAAGCCCAACTAGACCCTAAATTCCCTAAGACCCTGAACTTGAAAACCCCTGAGCCCTGTTATAGATAGGGGCTTGAACAATTACTACCCCTTTCTTTCGGATCCCCAAGAAGACTTATGGAGTGAGCTCAAGCGCCTACTACGGTTGATGATATAAATCCTGCATGACCCATAATAAGGAATATACCATAATTCCCATATATTCCTTATTATGGGTAATGCAGGACTTATATCATCAACCGTAGCACTACTCCTTAAGCGGCACCCCTGAAGCTAGTTCAGGCCCTTCGAAGCAGCATTATGGAAAGCTCCAAACTCTAGTCGGTTCATTAAGCTTTAACTATTTGGGAGTTTCCGAAAATTAGGGGTACATTATTTTGGGGTCCTTATGATAAGGATCCTGATATTTAGGGTACTAGCTTAGGGTTCCTTCTTTTCGGAAGCTCCCATTTTTCAATCCATGAGGGCTGATATGCCACGATGTAAGGCCAGTGGACTGCAAACGGGGACTCAGCTGACCCAAAGGCTCCATGTACCTTTATGGTAGATACTTAAGCCTTGAAGGGGTCCCTGCATAGGTATTTTAAGGCTTAAGTATATACTATATAGTCACATGGAGCCTTAGCTGCATAACCTTAAGGGCTAAGCCCTAACCACACCTCAAAGCGTCGCACATGTTTCAGGAACAGTTTGAAGCTTGCGACAGAACTCGCCCTGAAAGGACCCTCATCTGGGAACGGCGCCTAGGGCCTAAACTTTTGAGCTTTAAAGCTTTTTTTCCTACACCCTAATCCCCTAAACTCCTAGACCCTAAACTGAACCGTATCCGGCACCTCTGCACGAATTCTCAGGTCACCTTCCAGCAGCCGATCGTCATCTCGATTGTTGCCTGCCTGCTTCAGAGGAGTCAGTGTTCAGGGTTCCAACTACGGTTCCATATTAGGGTTTAAGCTTCCTTGAAAGCGTCCGTATAGGGTTTATTTTCAGTGTTCAGCGCCCACATTCATATAAGGGATTCAGAAGCTCGGAGTGCTTGTCAGTGAGCTTATGTCAGTTGGCATAATCCGGATACCCGGTTGATGCCACAGACCCTACTAAGAATCCTTCTCACACAGTCTCTAAGCCCTATATCATATCCCGGCTTAGGTTTTAGATTTACTTTAGGGCTTCGGGTTGTTTAGGCTTTAAGGCTTTTTGGGGTTTTTGAGATTTCAGGTTTTGGGCTTAATGTAGGTTTTGGGGTTTGGGGATTGCCCAAACCCTGAACGCAGGGTTTCAGGGTTCTGGCTAGCAGATGTTCCAGGATTTCCTGGCTCTCATTCGTGATCCAAGGAGCCTGCAACCCCTCTTCTCTCAACCCTAAGCTCCTAACCGTTTGGGGTTCCACTGGGGTTTGGGGCTACCTCATCACGGGTTCTCAAGAAAAAGCTGTGGAGATCGTCGGAAGGAAATGGTAAAGAGTTAAAGGTTTGGTCAGCGAAAGGCTTTGAGGTTGTGTAGGTTTGAGAGTCCTAATGCAGGTTGAGGTGACAAGAGAGACCGCTCCTCAAAGAACTGCGAACTTCAGCCCATTAGTGGAGCACCCTGAAATAGAAACCTGATGAGGTCACGAACATGATCAACAACACGATCTCCATCACGCAAACCACGCAGCTGACGGTCAACGGGCCGCTTCGACGCGAAGATGGCTTTGATATACCTTGGTCTCATTGGTCTCCTTACAATGTCCCCTGAACCCGGCTCTCCGAAACCTCAAACTCGTACAGCTACCAGCCCGAAATCCCAGACCTCAATGCAGAATCTCGAAGAACTAAGAATAGAATTCCCAGTGGCAAGTACTAACCATGAAGCTGCAAAACCCTGTTCGCGTCACGTAAGCAGCCCCCCCCTCCTCTTCTGGCCATCACCTTGTTTGGCATGACCGAGACAGCGGCAGCCCGAAATCTAAACTCCACTTCCTCAACCCTGAAAGCCCGGACACAGCATAGATGCCGGAATTATTGCGAATAGCATTCCCAGGACTCCTTATTGTAGTTGACTTGCATTAGAATGCACATCAACACCCTTATTCGAATGATCCAGGCCCCATGTTACACACCTCATCCCGAAGAGCCAGGTTTGAGAGTCGTCACATGTGATCGAGCTCCCACCAGCGTTTTCGCACACATATGCAGCCTACCAGAATCTTCAGAAAGCACTACTTGAAACATAAGCCGAAACCATGGAGGACTTCCGACAGCTGACAGTCTTAACGTTTGAGTTATGGACCCTAAACTCCTAAACCTTGTATGGACCAACCGGGCCGATGCCTCGTTCGGGAGTTGTTACGGACAGGGATCTCTGCAGTGATTACGTTTTGTTAATTGTGCTTTGGTGGGTTTTTATAGGCGACTAGGACTGGGATTGTCAAAGGGTTAGGGGTGCCATTTGGCAATACACTTTTGGAAACATACGCTACGCTCAAGCTTGCAGCTCAAACCTTTCGACGCAAGAGGATCGCAACACCGAACAGCTTGAACACTTGGAATTTCGAGGCTATCTCACCCCATACCCGCGCGAATCTCGTCTCTGCTTTTTCGATCAACCGCCGCTCCCTCTCAGGACAAATCTGGCTGTGCCTGCGGAATTCACCACGGAGCCCTTGAGTGCAGAGATCTTCGTCACTGGCATTCCAGCGCCTTGCACGACTTCCGCCGCTCTTCTTCAGCTATAGAACTCTTATCTTGGGGGGATTAGGAGTACGGGGACTCTACCACCTAAACCGACTATCTATGGTTCGGAAGTATCCAGTAGCAAGACTAGGTAACTCAACCTCGATTCTAACTCTCGGCCTAGGATCAGCATCTGCAGGTTCTTGGAAGTCGTGGACAACAAAATACTGGACCCTAAACCGTAGAATCCTCAACGTAAGCCCCTAGCCCAAAGCCCACATCCAACCCACAGGCCGGGTTCTCACGGAAAGTGTAGCCAAAGGGCCCTAAGTACCTGTATGGGGCATACGTGCCCAAACCATAATTGGAATTCCGACTATAGAAATATATGGAAATCCTAGTTTCTTTTGCTATATTAGGGCTATATATAGGAACTTAGGATCCCTTGAGGTACAGGGTTTAGGATAGTTGGACTTTGGCATTTGGGTTTAGGGTCTACGGATTTAAGGTTTAGGGCTTAGGGCTTCGGCTTAACACCCCGACCACCGGGAGGATCCAAAACTTACATCCCCAACTTGGTGTGACGGTCTACTAAAGTTAAATTGAAAAGGAACCCCCTTAAGGGATCTTGTTTTTGGATTCTCCCGGAGTCTGGGTATAGGCTCCTAAATGATCAGACTGGCTCCTTGAGTGATACTGCCATAATATAGCTACAATAAGGAATACCAAGAGATAATAGATGTTAGCAATTCTTCAAAACTTTACAACTACAGTATATGATCTGTTCTCGGGTTCTTCGGGGTTCCATGAGGGCTCTGCAATGGCTTTCTA